CATCCGTGGGACCTTCTATCTTGCCGTAGTAATTTTGATCACTTTATAAATTATGGGTATAATACCTGCCTGTAATATAAAAAATGCTTTTGGAACCACTTGGTGGCACCACGTGCACCACCACGTATTAGTGATAGTGGTAATTTACAGTCTTATAGATTCATAAAGTTGTCCCAGTAATAATGTTCGAAATATACTTCAACCTAGTTTATACTTGTGCCATATTTCTGTTTACAATCGTTATATATTAATCAAATTTCAGGTTAGCTTATTGGCCCTGTCATAATCTTGAGGTCCCTGAAGGAGTCGAAAAGGGATTCTTCCTGAAGGAGTTAATCATTTCCTAGTGCTTGTTTGTTCAATTGGATAAAAATTATAAAGTAATTTATTTCTTATTTTTCGGTTTTAAAAAAGAAAAAAAATTGTTCAGGTGAGCCTTACTGCCTCTGAGTATCTGATTTATTATGTAATTAATTGTTGCATTAATTTTCTTATCATTAACCATTAATTATCTAAAATAACGTATTAAAAACAGTACTGCGTCTGAGTACTCTCAGTTCTTTGATGAATTTCCTCATTGGCTGCTAGCTTCTACGCGCTTAGTGGCTGCTGTTATTGGCTGCTAGCTTCAGCCTGGTGGTGGATAAACGTATACATGTATATTGTTTCGTTCAAAAAATATCAAGTTAAAAGGCCATTTCTGTCAATTTTACCCAACGTAATATGCTGAAATTAAGTGCATTTTACTTTGGAAATGATTGTTTAATAAATAAAAACCTGCATACATACAGGGTTACTATATATGAACTGTACATGTATATACTACAAAGGGTACATATGGAAAACTTTTTGATATGTCTGATCAAGGTAGGGCTTTAGTTAGAAGTTCCTAAAACGAAAATTGCACCAAAAACCTTAACATGGGACGCCGACAAAGAGGGTATCACATAAGCTCCCCCAACTTCGTTGAGGTGAGCTAAAAAGGAGTCTATTTACATCTCCATTTTACCCAAACATCAATAATTTGAATTTTGACCATCTGAGATTAATTTCATTATAAATTTAAAGAATAGAGTTGTTTAGAAATTCATTGATAAAGTAGAAAGTTGTTTAGAAATTCATTGATAAAGTAGAACACCTTGATTTAATTATGATGACTCTATTCATGATATCATTTCCTTGTTTTATACTGAAAATAAAGTTTTTCCTTAATATTTTTCACAAGTATTTGATTCTTTTCTGTATGGCAGGTGAAACGTTGCAATATTCAATTTTTCCCCCATTTGTATTGTCTGATTTTTATTTGGATTCTGTACGCAGTTTTCCATTTCATTTGTATGATATTTTTAATTGTATTGTATATTTTTTATATTCCTCCATTTGTTTCTCTAATTTTCCATTTCTTAATTGCAGAAAATATATTACGGCTTATAGCAGTGTTACGATATTATAATGAAAGAGATGAAAATAGACGGTCAGCCCATATAAATCTATATTATACACATACATATAAACCCATGTTAACAGTATTAATAGATTATATGGAGAAGGGTGAAGTTCTTCTTTGATTTTCCATTTCATGTATTTGTAACATATAATTTTCCATTTGTTTTCTGTAATTTTACATTTGATTAATTTTACATGTATTTCATAATTTTCCATTTGTATGGTATAATTTTTCATTTGTATAATTTTTCATCTGTATATGGTTTTCAATTTCTATTATTCAATTATACAAATGGAAAATTATAGAGATCGAATAATGCAAAGTTTGACATGACATATTTCTGAGGCATTCTGAATCAGTTTTACACATATCCGATCACCCGATGAAGCTTGCATATTAAAGCTGGTCCGTGGTACCTATTACGAGTCAATCTTGCAAAACATACTTGACTTTTTATTTTGGGTCTAAAAGAGACGCAGTGTATACGTACGTACTTCTGGAGAAGAATTCACAGAAGGATGAACAGATATAAGGACATCAGATGATAAGAAATATTACCTCTGGTGGGCTATAGATTATGCACTCATTTATGCACTGTCTCCAATACACATAGACCAAGAACTATTTTTTATTTTTTTATAATAACTTACAGGTAGATTACACAGATAACTTAAGTGGATCACGTGCATTAGGCTGACAAGACAGACGCCTATGGTTGGCTGTCCTACTCACAATTATTTATTTTTACTCCACTAAAATTATTTTTACTGCAGTAAAAATAAAACACTGGCCCGTCATTGCTACTCACAATTAAATATTTTTACTCCAGTAAATTTTTTTTTACTTCTCTACCGGAGTAAAAATACAATGTGGCCATTTAACTCGCAATTAATTAATTTTACTCCTGGCCATTTCTACTCACAATCAAATATTTTCACTGAAGTGAAGTGAAGTCACAGTCCATGTTAGATATTTGGTGACTCATAGTTCAACGGGGAAAATTCCTCAGGCTGTTTATACATGACATTTAGAAACTATAGTGGATAGAGTTTGCGCATTTAATATACGACATGACATACATAAGCGTGGGAACCGGGGGGGGGGGGGGGGGGGGCTAGGGGGGCTTAGGGTTTTTTCTTTTTGAAAATGTTTCATACATAATATAGGCATTGAAAATTGGGGTTTACCTTTTCTTGTTGGTTTAGCCCCCTCCCCCCACTTTTAATTACCCCCCCCCCTTTCAATTTGCTTCCGACTCCTATGGCAGAGAATATAGTGCAAAAGGACTACTGTACGGATTTGCCGATATACAGTGTACAGTATAGTTTTTAGAAAACATAGTACGAGGGTTGATCCAAAAGTAATGTCACAGTGTCCATATCTTTTATATTTGGCGTCATATTATCAAATATTATATACCAAAAGATGCACAAATTTAAATTTAATAAAACTTTAATTTTTCATTCAATAATGTTTAACTGAATTTATTTTATAGATGTTTAAATAATATAAGATAGGGGGTGTCACCGCGTCAAAACCGAACGTCACAAATTAAAGTGTACTTTTTTAGTATAAAAAAAAGACAACACTTAAAAAGCATCTTTTAAAAGTGCCTAAACGCAAAATACTTTAAAAGACAAAAATTTACATCCTTTTATAGTCTTAAATTGAAAATTGTTGACATCACTGCTATTTTATGAAAAACATCGTTGATTTATTCCGGTGCATTGAATAAAGGACATGTCAAAATGAACAAAAAAGCCAAAACTAACTGTAATGCATTTTTGCTTCAAAATGGAGAAATCGCCAGTAGAGACAGTTACGTTGATTCACCAGAATTTCGGAGGAAAGAATGTAAATAAGAGACTTGTTTTGATGGTTTCAGCGATTTTTGGTGGGTGATGGGTCATTAAATGCTCAGCAGATGACCAGAAAACCGAAAGATGGGAGGGCGGACGGAAATGTTCAATGGTGTGTGACGTTGTCAAAAAGACAGACGGATAGAGCGATATGTGAAATTTTAAGTTGGTCTTGTACTACTGTTCAATGAATTTTGATAGAATTAATTATGAAAAGAGTGAGGTACAATGGGTACTAAGGGTAAGAAAGTGAAATTTGTGAACGTGTTCGTGGATATCAAATCTCAAATATATTTTAATGAAACGAAGGGAAGCGTTTAAATGTATGACGGCGCGTATCCGTCATATGACGTTATTTAGCTGCGGCGACTACCATAATCGCACGTTGTATATAATCCGATACTTTGAAAAGTATAAATCATGTTGAATTGAAATTTTTAGGTCTGATTTGAAATAACTGTAGCTTTCATCATTTATAATTTTGTTGTTTTACGTCGACGGGTAGCGATTTTATCGAAGTTGTGACATTACTTTTGGATCAACCCTCGTATATTAAGAGTATAGAAAACATGTAGTAATACTATATGAAACATCAATCAAAGTTGAAGATGTTTTTCTCGTGAAATTATAGACTGAATCATAGCATGAAAAAGTTTCTGTGATAAACATATAGAGACAGTTCCGCATTTTTTTATCATAACTTTTGTTTTCTAACTCAGTGCATATCCAAAGTGCCAAGTAAATCTTCATATTATGTACTTAAGAATTCTTGTTTGTGTTTTCTGATTCACAGTGATGTCTTGTATACGCCATAACTGTTTTATGCTTATTTGTAACCAACTTGGTTATTGGTTGATTTTTACTTAAGTAAAAATATTTAATTGTGAGTAGAGATGGCCAACGTTATATTTCTACTGCAGTAAAACTTACATGTATTAATTTGTGAGTTAGATGGCCAGTGTTTTATTTTTACTGCAGTAAAATTAATTAATTCTGAGTAATGTGGCCAAAAAGTATTCAGACTTCAGAGATAAATTAAATGATTTTACAAGATTCTTTCAAGGATAGAAACTCTACTATGATCTTTCCTGCATGCACTTTTCATGATAAAGAACTCTGTGAAACGTACTGTAAACAATGTGACTTTCCTATCTGCATCAGTTGCCTTGCATCTAATCAACATCTAGGTCATGAATTGTCAAGACTTTTACAATTTCTGGATGAAAAGAAAAGAATAATTATAAAAGAACAAAATGAATTCCAACCTACCAGGACATTGCCTCTGATGTACAAAACAGTTCGAAAAGGAATATGGAGATCTCTCAACAGCCATAAGAAAACATGAAGAGGACTGGCACAGAGAAATTGACAAACTTGTCAAGAAATTTAAAGCTGAAGTTGATGAGATGAAAAACACACAGTTACAAACTCTACACAAACATCTGGATGAAATAAACAAGAAAATGTCTAACATCAAGGATGAAATCAATTCACTTGAGGATGCTGTAGCCTCTAAAGACATTTCCAAACTTTTCAACGTTACATCTGATATGAACAGATACAGAAATCTTCCAGAAAAAATATTGACCTCTTTACCTAAATTTACTTCTGCAAGAATCCATGGAGAAGAACTAAGTAAAATGTTTGGAGCCTTATCATGAAGTTCTTTAACATCAGATAAACATGGCTACAGCATGAAGACAACACAGAAATCACCAGAAGCTGGATCCTCTCCTCCAGTCAAACAGCTGCTTGATGAACCAGAGACTGTCACCATCATAGACACTGGGTATAGATATGACCTTTACAATGTGGCCTGTCTGAGTGATGAAGAATTCTGGACAAGTGGACATGACAAATCCATGAAACTCTACAGCATCAATCGGGGATCACTACTCAAGTCAATCAAAACCAAATCAGGGGAAATACTGTCCAACATAACAGTGTTAAAAGGTAAAGAACTGGTTTATATTGATTTTGATGACAGAACTGTAAACATTGTGAAGAATGCGAAGATAGAGGAATTGATCAGACTACAGAACTGGAGACCTAGCGGTGTCTGTAGTACCTTCTCTGGTGACCTCCTGGTTATCATGGTCAGTGATGATAGAAATCAAACAAAAGTTGTCCGCTACTCTGGCTCCACAGAGAAACAAACCATTCAGTTTGATGAAAATAATCCTCTCTATTCACATGGTTCTTTTTATAGCAGATATATTACTGAGAACAAAAACTGGGATATCTGTGTGTCTGATTGTGAAGCTGAAGCAGTAGTGGTGGTCAATCAGGCCGGGAAACTGAGATTCAGGTACACTGGACATACTCCTGCTCCAAAGAACCAACCATTCAGTCCACGAGGAATCACCACAGACAGTCAGAGTCACATCCTTACAGCTGATGGTAACAATCACTGTGTCCATATCATAGACCAGGATGGACAGTTCCTATGTTATATAGACTGTAGAATGAGTAAACCCTGGGGACAAATGACAATCTGTTTGTTGCGCAGTATGGAAACACACTAGTGAAGAAAATCAAATATCTGCAGTGAAACCATAATTAAAGAAATCACTGGAAAATTCAACAATAAACAAAATACCACCATATAGGTGCAGTCTGTATAAACTTAACTCTTTACAACTTACTGAACTGTTATGCAACATACACGAAATGTTCACGTCATAGAAATAGAAATTTACCATTTCCCCGCAAGCACCTTTTAACGTAATACACTTTTCTCTAAACTTTAGGGTAAATAATACTATGACGCTATATTTTTATACAAAAATAACTTCTTATTTGATGAGATTTTTGCAAGTATGAAATAGAAGGAAAATTGCATTAAATTATCGATTAAGTGAACTTTTTAAAGTGCGTGAAAATGCGTGATTGCGGGGAAACGGTATATGCGTGATTTTGCGTTAGAAATAGGAAATGGTATATGCGTTAAAATGTGTGACTGCAGGGAAGGGGGTTAATGTAAATGACAAGAATTTAAAAAGAAAAATATGTTTACAACATGAATGCTAGATCAGAGATTTTAGTATTGTAGATCAGTAAATTTTCATGACACCTTATTTTCGCGAGATAATCATTGACTCTTGATAATTAAGCAAGACAAAATTTTCAATGATTGTGGTTATTGCTCTATAATACTATTATACGCGATAATTAAGTTTTCGCAAGCACACTGCTTCGTGAAATTATGCTAAAACTAGAGGTACTGTGAGCGATGAGCTCACTAAATGATACCCCCCGCCTCCCATATGGTTATAACTGGTGAAAAAGTCCATGTTTTCCTGTGGCCGGGAAACCCAAAATATGTGTCGGATCAAAAAGTAAAATAGGAGGTGCACAATGGCAACATGTAATAAAGATTCTGTGAAAGTTTCATCAAATTTCATTCAGTGGTATGAGAGGAGTTGCGGATAAGAGATGGGTACCCCAAAGCGTAACAGACGGACGGACAGACGGACGGACGGACGGAAATACCGATTACTATATACCCCCACTTTTCAAGCGGGGGGTATAATAAAGTTCTCGCAAATAAAAAGTGCTTTACAGTATGTTAATGATATCATACATGTACATGTACATGTGTATATGTTTAGCACTTGAAGTCTCTACAAGGAATACCATGAGAGCCTTTATCTTCCCAAAGTGTGGTCATGGGTTTTGTGTTGTAAACCAAGTACAAAACATATGTAGGGGCTATCAATCAGTATACATGTAATACCTACTGCTGGAGTTTCATATACCTGTAATACATTGCTTTGTGAAATGTAAACATAGGTCTTTTTACATGTATGATTGCGCCAATGTGCAAAAGGGGACAATGATGGATAATGTGAACAGAAAGCTCAGGTGAACAGACAGGAGATGGCCTTGACAAACACAGTCTCTTTTTGTTCATGAACTTAAACAGAATTCCTTACAAAGAAAAAGATACAAGTTATTTGATTAAATGTACCTTAAATAATAATAATTTATTAGATTAAATGTACTTTAATTAATAATAATTTTAATACTAACCAAAACAGATTTAAATATGTAAAAATTGTTATCATATCTATGTAATCAGTATTTAATAAAAATTTGTACACATAGTTATAAGTCTACATATGGAAATCAGTTCTCTGATAATTTAAATCTTGGAATATGGTCTTTTTTTTTTATCAAACTTAATTGTTATACATCTCAAACTCTTTATAAAGTTTCAACAGATTTCATTCCATAAATTATTAGGAGTATAGCTGCAATAAAGCAAATTCATTGTGTAAAGTGATACGTAAAAAATATTTCCCTCTCATCTTATGAAGGAAAATGTTCTTCTTGAACATGTTTAAATTTCTCTGTTTGTTAAAGGTTTATTACATCAAATGACATGCCATGTACTCTGTAACATTCTATGTTTGTTGCTAGAATAATTCAATCATACATGTATTCGTATATATATATATGAATGTTCAATGTAAACAGTGCAGTATTTTACACACGCTTAAAGTCAAGTGACAGGAATGAGTATTTTTATTTATTACAAACATAATTTGTTATATCTGTCAAGATCATAATGTTTTTAAACTACAAGTCCACTATAAGGTTAAATTCATTATAAACATTCACAAACGAAGTGTTTTACAGTAACAACTCTTATGAAGAGTAAAGCAAGTAGTGACCAAGTCCAAAAGATGTTTTAAAATATATACTGTACATATACTGTTAAAAAATGAAATTAACATAGCAATAAACACATGTTAAGTAAAATAAATATTTATTTCTAAAAGGTATTTCTTTGTCAGACACAATCACAGATTTTTGTGGGGATCAGAATTTACTGTTATTAAATCACACGCATTTTTGTGGGGTCAATTTTTCGTAGTTTGAGCAAAAAGTACTGATTTTAAGGAACTTTGTGGTTGATGAAGTCCCAAGTTGTTTTACGTCTTAAATGGGAGGACAAATTTGTGCGTCTCATTTTAACACAAAAAACAACAAACATTACCGGTAATTAAAAATAAACCCATAAAAATTCACAATTTCACAGTTATACATTTTAAAAAATATTTAACAAATGCAGCATATATATATAATATAATAATGTAAAATGAATTCATCAAAAACTTTTTTTAATGCTTGATTTGAATTCAATAGGTGGGGAAAAATAATTTTTTTAATTGATTGTTATCAAGTTCACATACAGATTTACCTGAGTAATCATAGGCTTACCAGTACATATTATATCACAAATGATGTATTAAATTACCTAAAACATGTTAAGTATTTTGATTTATCTACATGTCCCTTACATTAAAATTCCTGCAAAACTCCTTGAATTCTGACAACAAATTTTACAAAAAATTATATAATGGTCACAGTTAAATTCATTTTATGAAATTCTTATGTCAAAACTCATACACTGGTTTTCTTGCAGTCATGATCCATAAAATAGCTGCAGTTTATTCATTTTTTTTCATTAAAAACAATGGTCATCCGTTGTTGTTGCTATGAATGGTTTCCATTTTGTAACTGTGTTTTGGTTATATCACCTGGAAGAAATAAAATCATGGAAGATATGAAATTTATTATCAAACAATGGCAGTGATTTGTCTCATTTTCCAGAAAACCTTTCTATTATCTTTGCTATATATCTGTATTTCATTTTTATTATAAAATATAAATGCAGTAAAGGAATAAAATCAGTTTTGTAATTTCTCAGTATCTGTGTTTTGTGTGTGCCTGTGTTAAGATTAACCCACATTACATGTGCAGGTATGTGTGTGTATGTGTGAAGATTTAACTGTATTACATGTAAAGGTGTGTGTATATCTACCTGTGTTGAGTGTGTAGGTGTTTATGTAGATTTACCTAAATCAAATGTGAAGGTGAATGTGTAGATTTACCTGTACAAAACGTTTAGGTTTCTATGTTGATTCACCTGTATGTAATGTGTAATTGAGTATTCAGATTTTCCTGTATTGAATGTGTAGGTGTGTGTGTTTATTTACCTGTATTACATGTGTAGGTGTGTGTGTTTATTTACCTTTATATCAAGTGTAGGTAGGTGTGTTTATTTACCTGTACTGACTGGATAGTTGTCAATTACCTGAATTAAATGTGAAGGCGAATGTGTAGATTTACCTGTATTACATGTGTAGCTGTCTCAGTACATTTTCCTGTATTAAATGTGAAGGCATCTGTGAAAATTTACCTGGATTACATGTGTAGGTGTTTGTAGATTTACCTGTATTACATGTGAATTTACCTGTACAAATCCGATAGCTTTATATGTAGATTCACCTGTATTAAATGTGTAACTGTGAGTTTAGATTTACGTGTAACTGTGTGTTTAGATTCACCAGTATGTGATGTGTAAGTCTGTGTTTAGATTTACCTGTATTAAATGTGTAGGTGTCTGTGAAGAATCTCTGACATGCATTGATCTCTGGACAGAAATCAGCGGTTCCTCCATACATTATCACTTTGTCCCCCACTACCCCCAGGGATTGCTGGCTTCTCCCCTCAGGAACGGTCCCACTCTGCTTCACCTGGGTCCAACTTTTGGATTCTGAAATCAAATGTAATTCAAGTGTCACTGCAATTTTTTCAAATTTTCAAAGTTAAATATCAAAACTTTTAATACTGAAACAAACATCCTTTTGAACCAAAGGCAAAAAAATTACCACAGTCAAAAACATGGATATCAGCGAAATGTTGGTTCTCTGTCCCTCGTCCCCCGACGACAACCAGTTTACTTCCAATGGAGACTGCAGCATGAAATGACCTTGGTTCTGGTTTTTGTCCTTTTATTTTCATTTCTGTGTCCCACTTTCTTGTTTCTGAAAGAATCGATTCAATAAAATACATCCTTCTTTCTATTTACATGTATTGAATATGTGTACATCATTCTCTCTCTATTTACATGTTTTGAATATGTGTACATCATTCTTTTTATTTACATGTATTGATTAAGTGTACATCATTCTGTCTATTTGCCTGTGTACATCATTCTGTCTATTTACCTGTGTACATCATTCTGTCTATTTACCTGTGTACATCATTCTGTCTATTTACCTGTATTAAATATGTGTACATCGTTCTGTCTGGCTTCTATATCCCTTCCTCCAAAGATGACAATCTGTTTGTCTACAGCACACATCACATGTGCAGCTCGGGCGGTGGGCACTCCAAGATTCATTTGCATTGGGTGTGACCACTTCTTGCTTACTGAAATAGATTAACTTATAATCATTTTAAAGATACCTACACAGTTAAGGCAATGCAAAGTTAATTCCTTGGTTCTCAGGCCTTTTTTTTCAAGAAATATGGTGAGGGAGGGAAGCATTTTTTTAAAAACTTTTTTATTGCATTCAAAACATGATGAGGCAGATTTTTACATTGTACAAAACCTAAAAAAATAATAATGAGGGAGGTGATTTGTTGTTTTTATTTTACTGATTTAGCAATAAAAGGGTCAAGAGGCACCCTTGGAAGAGATGAGAGGCCTGCGAACCAAGAAATTAATTTTTAATGGCATAAACCTGGTTACAATGAAAATTCTTTAATGTAAGGAATTCATGCCTACATGCCCACTGCAAAGTGGTTTTCATTCCTTGTAGTTTTAAAAATTGCTATAAACCCTACAAATATAACAAATTGCATCAACAGCCAATCAAAATTTTCATCCCTGGCATTTTGCTAAAAGCATGCTTTACTGTCCTTTCCTCAAACTGTTCATTCTCTGAGAAATTAACTAATATAAGTCTATAGCCGAGACTGTAGCTCTATTTTTTTGTACTTATAACAAAGGCTAAGGATATATTAGCCATTGCCATCTGACCAAAACTGTAGAAGGAGTAGCGTTTTAAAGGAATTTCACAGACATTTCTATTTTTAGTAACAATGGCAACCCTGTTCATCGAAATCAAAAATCGATGCACTATTTTATGTATCTTAGTGTAGTCTACTTGTGTGCCAAGTAATATTGAAATCAGACCAAAACTGTAGAAGGAGTAGCGTTTTAAAGGAATTTCACAGAAAATTCTATTTTCAGTAACCATGGTAACACCGTTCATTGAAATCAAAAACTGATGCACTATTTCATGTATCTTAGTGTAGTCTACTTGTGTGCCAAGTTATATTGAAATCAGACCAAAACTGTAGGAGGAGTAGCGTTTTAAAGGAATTTCACAGAAAATTCTATTTTTAGTTACCATGGCAACACCGTTCATTGAAATCAAAATCGGATACCAAGAACTGTTTAATTACTAAAAGCCAAATTTTCGACATTAATATCACTTGGGTATGACCCAGTTTTGTTTATGTACATACTGACACACGCTTGGTATATATGCATTCTACTGGTAAGCATAAATTCATAACACACTTGGCTTGGAATCAATTAAAAAGAAAATAATCAAGTATTATTACCTCTTGTTAGATAACTATTACAAAGATTAAATTAAAATGTTCACACATGCACACTTGAATATGTAAAGTGAAAAAACTGACGTTCTACATTCGTTTGAGATTCGTAAATTTTTCATTATTTTATTTTAAGTTACTGTACTACAAAAAAGTAATGTCACATCCAAATTCTGCATTTTTGGGATGCGCTTTTTACATAGGACCAGCGTTTTTTTCCTCTGATTTTTACCCCCAAAGTTAACTAATACAACATTGCGCTCTATAAAAACCTTAAACCTTTATATTTCATGTAAAAAATATGCTAAAAAAATTTCTTTGTTATCAATACATAACGTTGTTGGCTTGTATTTTCAATACCTGTGTCAAAGACATGAAGATCGTTGAACCAGCCAAAGTCTGCCCCGGATTGGTCTGTCGGTAGTTCATCACTTTCTTCCTCTTCCCACTAAGAATAAATCACAACATATTGATACATTCAAATACAAAGAATTTACGCCACCATAACTATTTCATTGTTTCTATTTTATAGTTATTGTTTAAATTAAGATTTTTAAAAATTTAATCTAGTTCTAATCCTCATTAAAGATATAAATATAAACTGAAGGGTCTATCAGAGGGGTCAATGAACCATAACGATATGAGGAATCATAACTATCATAGGAATCAATCAACCATTACTAACAGAGGAATCAATGAACCAAAACTGTTACCTCTTCATCATCTTCATCCACATCATCTAAGTCCACAGCTTTAGGACCGAACCCCCCAAAGTAGTAGATCCACTGCCCCACAGCTACACCCTGTAACTTGTCACGAGGGCTTGGGAATGCTCCCTCCGCATCCACAGGTGACCAAGAGTTAGTATCTAAAAGAGGATTCGAACATATACTCACTGTACAAATGCTTGATTTCAAAATCAAATACCTCAGAATTCTTCAATATGACGCACATTGAATGGAATTAATCACCACCAAAAATGGCAGTATAGATCTAACAGTAAAGTTTTGGATGGTCTCTTTTTCAAGCCAGTGGGGTAATACAGTGTATTACTAATAAGTACTGTAAATCACTTTTTATTCGCAAGAACTTTATTTTCACGTAATTACGCGAGAGAGTGTGCTCGCGAAAATTTAATTCTCGCGTATGATAGTATTTCTTAGGATAATATAGAGCAAGAACCATAATTCGTGAAAATTTTGTCTCGCTTATCAAGAGTCAATGATTATCTCGCGAAAATAAGGTGTCGCGAAAATATAGTGATCTACAGTAGCTATTAACAATGGTTATAGGAAATTTTTTGAAGTGGAATATGTTCAGATCACAAGCTTAGTAATAGCGAGCGCAGCGAGCGTCGCAAAGTGACGCTCACGAAGCGAGCTCAATAGACTAACGTGTAAGAACAGAGGAAATTCGGAATTGTACATACGTCAAGCAAATTTTGTTGTGAAACATTCCCAGAATTCCTTTACTACCCAATGTCCTTTGCGCGAATAAATAAATAAATAGATAATAACGTAAAGCATAAAAGGCTTTCAGTTTGTAGAAATATTTCAAAGAAACAATAAATAACTCTGCAATGTTTTTCGACCAAAAGTGCACTAGATCTATAGTTTCAACCAGACGCTCGGCTATCTCCGTAAGCTCCGATGAGCTCCGTGACGTCGCGTGACGTCACCGCTAGTCGAGATGTCTCGTGCGGCTTGATGTTTGAAGTAGCTTTTCAAGTTTTCGAGTGTTTTGATGGTCACAACTGCGCTCGCCCCAATGGTCACACCGTAAAACATATTATTCTGTAATGGCAGTTAAAATATTAAGAAATATTAAATAAATAGAGGTAAACAGTAAAAGTGTACTTTTTTGCACATTAAATTTTTTTTTTCAATGGGTGGTACTGAAGCTCTCTGGTCATCCATCCCACCTCTTTTCAGACCAGTGAGCTAAAGATCTACAGGTAGCAGCTAGCTATTCTTAACCTCGTTGGCTGAAAAACCACTTACTTATATCGAACTTGAAGAGATCATTAAACCACCCCGTAGAATGACTCAGTCCACCAAACAGGTACAGGGAGTTGCCCACGGCTACCAGACTGGCACCAGTACGAGCTGCCGGAGGTTCTCCATGGAAAATGACCTTCTCCCATTTATTTTTTGCTGTCAGAAGCAAAAGAAATGGTTAAATTTTAAAATAAAGAGAATTTATTATGGTTTAAAACAGTAACGAAGTGGGGGAGGCTGAAATTGAGCCTAAATGAGTTAGGTACACTGTGATAAAAATAATTAGGGATGCCCTGTATACGAAGCAAGTGTATGTGTTGCTACCTACTGCCAAAAGAATCTTTGTCTATCACTGCGATTATGGTAAATCCCTGGCATTGCATGTATGTAACAATTCCAATATTAATCCCAGCACTTTCCCGCAATATTTATTGTTCGTTCAGGGGTGTGCAATTACCATCGCCCGACGCCCGGGGCTACCAATTTTAGAGGTCGGGCTAGCTTAAATCTATACTGCGTTAGACCATTGGGCTAGTAAATCTAAAAAGAAAGTAAACATATATTTACCTCGACTGAATTGAGGTACGAATTAACTTTTCTATAAAATCATAATCTTTAATTCGTTTTAACCTATATGCATTGTGTGTTCCTATCGCCAGTCGTCTCAGTGACAATTATAGTTGATATAAATAGGGGGAAGTACCTGACAATTACAAAGCGCAAACCATTATCTGTTTTATTTATTTCAACTTAAATGTTTATGATATACTTATACATATATTGTTTTCGGTAGTTAATGGGCTAGTGACTGGCAACCTTGGGCTAGTAGCTTTGTTACCACCATTGCCCAACGAGCTGGTAATTTATTTTTGTAATGTGCACACCCCTGTCGTTGAAAGAAACCTCCTGAGAGTAGTAGACGTCACATAAGCCTGGTTTACATCACAAAATTGCTAATCATATTGATGCGTCAAAGAGCTTCAGTAACTTTACGTTAAAAATGAAAGTGAATTTTGAGAGCTCAGAGCAGTGCCGAATTTGAAATTTTATGTTTATTTAAAAGTTTTGTTTGTTTTGGTATAATAAAGAATTTAATGTGCAAGAAACATGGGCGATAACTCGTAAACTATAACTCAGTGCATTTACTACGAACAATCTAGAGAGTTCCAAATGTAAACATGGCATAAATTCCCCTCAGAAAATTAATTGGATTTTCATCTTTATATGGATTATTTTCTGGGGTAAACAGCATAAGCAATCTCAAACAAGGCCAAAGAAAAAAAATGTTATCAGTTTAAGTAATGCAAATCCTACATCATATTTTCTTAATATTAAGTATTCATCCCAACAACTATTTTTGGGGGCCGACCTCTACATGGCATATTTTTTTTTAAGTGTGAAAAAAAATGTGTAAACAAATATTCATAACTGTTAAAATTTGTCAAAGACTTCTGTTCACCATTTTCAGTTCCCCTGTTATCAATGGAAAATAACAAAATGGCGGCGGCCATTGGAAGAGGCCAGCCTCAGTGTGCTCTCTGTTATTTTGGGAATGAAAATGTAGGTACAAGGACACAAAAACAAGCGTAATAACAACCCTTTGGTTTACTGCCCACTTTAAATGATATCTTTGCTAGTGATCGATTGTCAGTTTGTCCAAAAGGGCTCATAGTTACGATGCTACTCATCGATTATAAAATAAATGTCGCCGACATCGCTAACAAAAAATAAAATTGTCATACTTTAATTTTATTACCAAATCCAAGTGCAAAGAGCATAAAAGTAGTGATGAATGTTGAAAACATGGAAGGATCCCGTGTCTTGTAGATACTTTTACCGCCATGATTAAATATGGGGTTAAACTAATACCAGGAAACGGTAATATTGCAAGTAAAGGAAAACATAATTAGTCTAGTCAATCTTTAAACGTTATTATCACCATAAATACATGTCTAACTTCTGGATAATTACTTTTACAACTTTCAATTTTAACTAACTTAAACTAATTTTACATACATATATTAAATGAAAGGTGGGACTAATATCAGTAAAAAACCCTTTGCATGGACTTCTGACTTTATTAAAAAAAATAATTCACATTCTGTTTCAATAGTCCTATATTGTTTAATGTAAACAAAATACTATTTTCCACTGTTTAAAAAAGAAATTTCAATTAACATTTGTTCTTGATTTAGTTCCTGTTCACTAAAATATTTCACTTAAATTACAAATGTACATGTATTCAGATTCATCATCTTTGTTTGTTTGTTTTTTTTGTTTTAGATTTCAAATAGTAAACAACGATAAAATTAACCTGCTCAGAAATCAAATACAGTGTAATCTAACAAAGTTCATGGTTTCTGTAACACATATGGTCCTTCGCTGAGTTTTTAAAGGAATGATTGTTTGATTATCTACTTGACAAATACCTTCATGTTCCATAACTGAAAAAAAAAATTCTGAGAAAACTAAAAGAGCTTTCTACACAGTGTACTGTATATTATAAAATACCACTTGAGCTGTTGTGCATCAAGATATGAAATTTAATTGTAAAAGATTATATTGAGTGACTTGTGATATATTTAATTTGATTATGTATTCAGTTCATATCCTAAAAATGTTATTTCCAGTGCAAAAAAATAAAATAAAAAATAAAATAAAATAATTTTCCTACCTACCTACCCTATTTTTTTTAGGCTGGTAGCAGGAAACAAGACTATTATTTTTTTTGGCCTAAATCTTCATATTTCATGCAATAAATGTAAAACGTTAATATTTCAATTTTTAAACAAAGCTCGCGTTAAAAAAAGAACCAACACACAATAATTTAAATGCCCAAACAATGATCTTACCAAAGGAAAACTTGATCAATTCGTTTGTTTCCACCAGTTCATCGGCATGAGTCTCTGTGTGTGCAACACCTCCGAACACGTACATGGAATCCTCCGTCACACACGAACATTGACCCTCTCGTGGACTCGGACAGCTGTCTGATTCTAATTTACTCCAATTTACTTCCATAGTTTATAGACCCCTCAAAATATCAAAAGAAAGAAAGCCTTTTTCCCGCGATAATGATACCGGAAATGGCATTACGGTAGTAAATATGAATGGAATTAGGTCAAACATTTTAGTTCCGGTATTATTTTTCAGTGGATCGACTTGTACGGTTTACAAATCATATATAAATAAACGACAGTGTGATGCTTTATGATGGGCTCATCTGTCAAAAATAGATCGTGACATAACGGCGAAACAGTACACTTCATTTTTTTTAATATTTCTTTTTACTTTAATACCCCCCCCCCCCCCCCCCCCCAAAAAAAAAAAAAAACAAAAAACAGGCACTTGTTCTTTTTTTTATTCAACCAGTAGAGCAATGTATAATACAACCACGTAGTAAAGTGGGCCGTTGAGGGGCTCCCTGCCCCTTTTAAAGACACCACTTCTTGTGATTTTGTAAGTTCGGTCGGTTGCCCCCCCCCCCCCTCTCTCTCTTTTTTACTGCAGTATCACGTGGTCAAATAATTCAATTTTATTTGTAACACGTCATTTGATTGGTTAAACGGTTTTATCTATTTTGTATAACATAACTTGCCTACGTCACAATGAGTTACGTCAAAAACGTATTACTCCGCTTGACGTTAACTTTTAAAATATGCGATATTTGAAGCCTTTTTCCGAAGGAAAAAATGGAAAAATTGTCTCATTGTCTACATTGAAATTAAATTATAAGGAATGAAGCTTATTTCAACTTATGTTATACGATATAACATAACTTGGGGCATTTTACGCTTAAACTGCCCCAAGTTATGTTATATCGTATAACATGAGTTGAAATAAGCTTCATTCCTTAAATATTTAATAAAGCCCATTGAGCTCATTTTCGTAGGTTAAAAAAATAATTTTTTCGCGGTATATGACGAAACTTTCGCGAATAAACCCGTAACTTTCGCGAAATAATAATAATAGTAATTGTTACTCCGGAACCTTGATCTTGACTGACAGATAAGAACACGAACACAGACGGGAACTCTCATGAACTAATTTATAAAACATCATTTTCTCAGAAGATGCGCTGGAGAACGATACGAGAATATGATAGATTAGAATACTTTTTTAATTTCAAAACCCTACCAATTAATAAAATGAATTTTATATGTACTTTCTTGTTCAGTTTTTTTTCCCCAAATGTTAAATTCAAGAATTTCTCCAGACTGATTATTTTTTAAAAGGAAAATGTCCACTTGACACTTTTTTAAAGCTGTTTTTTAATCAGTAACATTTACTACAACTGCATACCACTAGTAAATTAAGCAATCATGATCAAATAAGCATTTTTTCTTCATTGATTATGTATCCAAGGGGTTATAGAAAAGACCGTGGACTAGCACCATAAATCAATTTTTTAAGGTATACAGCAGAGTTTGTACACTTTGAATTAATTGTCAATGTTTTCGTAAGCCATGGAATGACCACGTAGTGCAACCTCAAAATACGATATCGAATTTCTTCAATGAATCCAATGGAGACAAATGAAAATATACAATCCAATTTTCTCAAATGTGGTGGGACACAACTGACAAATTTACCTCATTTTGTCAATTTTCTGAGATATATATATAATCTTAACAATTTTATTTCAAATTCTCTTGAGATTGTATAAAAAGACGCCGGAAATGGGTGATTTTCCCCGAAAATCGTGATCTTGAAGTTTAACTTTTTGAAAACTCGCATAAACTTTGAATTGTTTGAACAGCGTTGAGAAAGACAAAATGAGATCGTCACGGTAAAATGGATTCAATAGCAAGAAAACTTAAAATTGTAGCTTGTAAAAGTCCAAGATCAAAAATAGCCTTTAGCTTATCAATGTAATGAATAAACTTGATTACAAAATCCCGACTTAAGCAAATGTCTTGGTTAAACAGCAACGCGTTATATAACGCGAAAGTTACGCGTTTATTCGCGAAAGTTTCGCGTTATAACGCGAAAATTTATTATTTTTTTAACTAACGAAAATGAGCTCAATGGGCTTTCGTAAATAATAGTGTAATGTAGAAAAAAAACTTCCTTTATCGTGCGTTTATACGCAAAATATTGGTTATTTCAAACATTAAAAAATCTTTTACAGACAATAAATAATTAAGGGCCTAAAAACCATACTTTTCTTAAGAGTTCTCTAGGGTTCTCTATTTAGTAGTACCCTCAGAAGCAAGTGCCTACGATACATTCTAGCCTACAGTCTTCCTGAAAGCGAGCACTCCGCCTACGATAAATCCGCTCCTTTCTCGTGAAAGTTCGGCATTTTCCGTCGATCTGTTTGTAAATATTTTTTAATGAAGTTTGGAAGTGCATCAAACGCAGTAAGTAAATTCTAATTATTTCATACAAATAAAATAAAACTTTGTCGATTAAATCTCACTCCACTCATTATTGAGGTCATTTTCTTTTAATAGCAGCAAAATTACTTCCGTTATTGAACCGAAAAAGAAAATATTTTGTTGACAGATCTACCGGCCTTTCTGCGTTGAAAAACAGGTAATTTGTGAATAACATCTCATCCATATCATCTAAAATGCATTTTCAGCTAAGTATTAAATCATAAATATTTGATTCCAGTTGAAATACTCGTGAAATTTTAGATTATTTCGAGAAAAAGGAAAGCCCATCACAGAGGGGCCCATTAGGGGAAATACTTTTCTTTGTGATGTTATCTATGAAAAGAAATTGACAAGGTATCGGTGTAAAAAGGAACAAAATAAAATTAGTTTATGAAGAAAATTTAATTTGTTAAATATATATGGTATGGATTTTGCTATAGTCTTCATTTAACTGAGATATGGATTTCTCATCTTAGACAATGTTAGAACAGTTATAGGATAAATTTAGAGTTGTGAAACTTTAATGTTATATCTGTTTTATTTCCTGAATGAAACCAAACCAGAAAGATAAAGTTTGAATTAATAAGTACATATCCAAATGATTTTGGATCTACATTTACATACAATTAGTGAAAAAATGTATGCATAAAAAGATTTCCCCTTTCTTACCCCTCATGTATGTAGTGGTCAGGTTTAGACAGCTAGTGTTCATTTTCTTTTGAGTTCTTTTATTTGTGAAATTATTATCTTACTGTACATGTGATAATTTTATTTGTCCATTTACAATCCATCAAAACCATTTACATGACCAAACGTATTTAATACATGAGTTCCTGACAGTTCTACCATAAACAAAATCGTGACCAGGTTCTTGTAAAGTAATAAAATGCCGAATAAAAACCTTCTGCCTCCCGTATATGATCATTAAATTCTAACCCTTGTTTCCAGAGGACTTCCTTCTGTAAACATGGCAATAAATCAAATTGTGAAGGAAGATTTTGTTGACAAATATATGAATTTGCTAAGTCGTGTTTTATTGCCAAAAGTTTTGTACTTTTGTAATATTTGTAACAAGTTAGATGAAAGTTGAAATTAAGGTCATCATATAAAATGTTTTCCAAATTTGCTGCTGTCTGATAACGGGGTTTTATTTTTGTATTGCAGCAAAAGGAGACAGGAGGGCCGGGGAATGAATTAATAGTAAGTTTTCATGTCAAAAATTTATTTAGACTTATCATGTTGATTGTACTGTGCCAGTAATTGTAAGATGTGCAGCAGCATACAATAACTGGTTTTTGTCCCCTGTTAAAAGTAGGGGGATATTAACTTCGGTCTGTCTGTCCTTCCGTTTGTCTGTAACGCTTTCATTTTCACAAGATATCTCGAGAAGCCTTTGAAGTTTTTCAATAAAATTTTTATAAAATAACTCCCTATGGCCTAAGGAAGATCCCTATTGATTTTGAGGTCATAAGGTCTAGGCCAAAATAAAAAATAGTCTTGTTTCCTGCTACCCGACCTACCCTATTTTTTTGCACTCGACCCTAAAGGTTTTTTTTAGCTATTGGGCCAGCATTTTTTTATTTTTAGGTTTACGAACATCAGAATGAAAAAGTCCCGTAGGAGGAGGAAATAAAAAAAAAATAAAATTATATTTTGGATACATTATCGACTTTTCTACATTAATTTTTGCTTCTTTTTTAATGCTCTCCTAACAGGCTTTTTGCCACTGGACACATAAGGGTTACAAAGGGGAAAATACAACCTTTAATTGTTTATTTCATCATCTACTAGTTGGGGGCATTGATATAAATCTTTTGATATTGGACAAAATACAGATTTTTTTTTTTAAATCAATTTTTTAAATCTCTTTTAATATATTTTCATTTTTGTTTTTAATGTGTGTTAGGTAGAAATTATTCTAAAATATTAATATACTTGAGACCTATAAAAGTAATAATTCCTTTCATAAAACAGACAGGGAGTATTCCCAAGGAGTATTGAGCAGTAGGGTGGAATTTTTTCAATTAAGTGTAAAATAATTTTTCTGGCTGCCATAAACGATACTACATGCCTGTATATATTTGTATATTCTTGTTTTTAAATAGTTGAAATATTTTATTTCTTTAGGCTATTGTTTATTTCTTCCTCAAATGGACTTAACTTCTCCCATAGTTTTATTCATTACATCTGATGCATAAGTGACCCTTTTCTGAAGAATGATGCTAAGACTGCAAGTTATGACAAAAACCTAAACAATGTCTCTGACAATAGCTACCATGGGCAGTTTTAAACCTGTGGGAGGAAAATAATTTACTTTTAAAGACAGTTACTTTTGAATACGGATACGTAATTATCTCACCAACATGTCACTTTGCAACAAAGTCGTCAGCATTTTATTGTTCTCTGAACGGGTGAAACGTTTTGAATGGCACTCCTATCAATAAATATTTACATTAAACCAAGCTTTAGTGCTGCTATGGACTTGACACAAATCTCCCTTCATTACCCGCCATGTTCATTTAAAACCGGAAGTACGAGTTCGTAAATTTGAAATCTCGATCCCGACTCAAATTTGACATCGGAAAGAAAAAAATTTGTTTTTCTCAATTTTATTTTTTTTCTGAAAATTCAAAAATCTGAGCGGCGGGTTTGTAAACCTAAAAATAAAAAAATGCTGGCCTTGGGGAAAAAATTCAAATTTTAGAAATTTCATGTTTCAAAAGTGAAAAAATTTATATATTCTCAAGTTGTATTTCATGAAATATATGTTTAAAATATGGACTTTCGTAAAATTCCACTTGAGTTGTGCATCCAAAGACATGGAATTTCATTTTGAAAGATGATATTGACCTTAGCTATCTAAGCTATATGACATGTTCAATTTGGTTTTGTAGTAGTTCATATCCAAAAAAAATACCGTTGGAAAAAATAAAATAAAATTAAAAAATAAAATAATTTTCCTACCTACCTACCCTATTTTTTTCTGGCTGGTAGCAGGAAACAAGACAATTATTTTTTTTTGGCCCAATGGTCCAATTTATAAATTAAAAAAATCTCTATGTTTTAACACTTTTGCTTCCATGAAATATCTTGAAAAGCCTTTGAGATATTGCAATTATTATAATATTTTATACCAGAACTCCCTATGGACTAAGTAAGACCTCTGTTTATTTTAAGGTCGAGGTCATGTAGTCATACATTTTTTGTGTAAAACTTTCATTTTGGGCAATATCTCAAATTTTATGCCATAACTTCCTATGGCTACCTCTTGCCCTCCTTAAAGTGCCCTCAATAGATCCCCCCTCCAGGTCAGCACATTCTCTTCTTTTTTAGGTCACCTGAGTAAACTCAGGTGACCTATTGCTATCTGTTTTCGTCCATCGCCGTGCGTCGTTCGTCGTGTGTCGTGTGTTAACATTTGAACATTTTCAGCTTCTTCTCTGCAACTACTCAACCAATTTCCATCAAATTTTACATAAAGCATTTATGGGTGAAGGGGAACAAAAATTGTGAATTTCATGGTCCCTGCCCCCCTGGGGCCTGAGGGGTGGGGCCAAAACCACCAAAATTAGTGCAATCTTTAAAAATCTTCTTCTTTACTCCTGGACACCAAGCAGTCAAACTGTTAGCATGAATGTAATGACCATTGAGTCCTCTACCAAAATTGTGAAATTCATGGCCCCAGGATCAGGGGTTCTAGTGCTAGGGCGGGGCTCTATAGATTATATAGTGAAAATGCATTATTTCTTTGAAAATCTTCTTCTCTGCTTCTGGGCATTAAATAAACTAACTAAGTACATAGTAATAATGAGCAAGATTGCCTCTTCCAGATTTGTGAATTTGATGGCCCTAGGGTCAGGGGTTCTGGTGTTAGGGCGGGGTTCTATAGATTATATAGTGAAAATGCATTTATTCTTTGAAAATCTTCTTCTCTGCTTCTGGGTTTTAAATAAACTAACTAAGTACATAGTTATGATGAGCAAAAGTGCCTCTTCCAGATTTGTGAATTTGATGGCCCCAGGGTCAGGGGTTCTGGTGTTAGGGTGGGGCTCTAGAGATTATATAGTGGAAATGCATTTATTCTCTGAAAATCCTCTTCTCTGCTTCTGAGTATTAAATAAACTAATTAAGCACAAATTTATGATGAGCAAGAGTGCCTTTTCCAAAATTGTGAATTTTATAGCCCCAGAGTCAGGGGTTCTAGTGTTAGGGCGGGGCTCTATTGATTACATGTATATAGTGAAAATGCATTTATTCTTTTAAAATCTTCTTCTCTGCTTCTGAGTATTAAATAAACTAACTAAGCACATAGTTATGATAAGCAAGAGTGCCTTTTCCAAAATTGTGAATTTTATGGCCCCAGAGTCAGGGGTTCAGGTGTTAGGGCCGGGGCTCTTTTGATTATTCAGTAAAAATACATTAATTCTTTGAAAATATTTTCCTTTGCTTCTGGGTTTTATGCCAATGATCCAAGTATATATATTTATGATGAAGAAAGGTGCATGTAGCAAAATGTTTATTTTTTATCCCCCCCCCCCTTGGGTCAAGGAGGGGGGGGAGTTACATAGTCTGAAAATAAATTAATGCTTTGAAATCTGCTCTTTGGTATTAATCAACCATTTTTGATAAAATTTGCAAAATTTTTAAATATGTGGCCCCAGGGTCAGTGGTTCTTTTGGGATGAGGTGCACAACTAGTTATAAAGTGGAAGAACATCTGTTTGTAACTCAGATCTACCTCTGGGTATTGAGTAAGTAGAGTAAGCATGCTAAGTTTTTTAATTATGATAAGCAATGGTGCCTCTTTCAAATTGTGAATTGTGAATTTCATGGCCTCTGGTTTAAAACCAAATTTAATTGTTTGAAAGTTGTTACACAATACTCGGGTGACCTATAAGGCCCGTGGGCCTCTTGTTTCTCATTTAGTGGGGGACACAGATTCTCTGAATTATTATGACATATCTGAGAAAGACCCTTTTAAAATATCACAAAAATTAAAAAATAACAAATTTACAAATCTATTCTATAAGTGTATACGGGAGATATATTGTTTAATTTGGGCATATATTGCATTGTAATGCAGCAGTAACAGGTATTGTAGCAGAAAAATGCCCCCCCCCCCTTTTGCCCTGGCCCAGTGGATGAATGTTAAAATAGAATAAATTCAAAGAAGATAAAGTTTAATATCTTTAACACAATTTTGTCTTGATGAAATTTAAACTGGGTAAATTATTTTGAAATTAAGTGTGTTACATGGTAAAAGTAATAGTACGTTTACATGTACAAGCAAAAGTAACCTTGTATACAATTACATGTATTACAAATGAATTAACTAAACATGTATTTACAAATGGGTGGCAATTATATCATGTATCACAGAAGGAAAAAATATTTATGAAGAAAGAAAGGGATAGGGGAAACTAACCGATATAATGGGATGGGGTAGGACGAGATTCTAATTAATCATCATTTAATCATGTTAATGGGAAAAAAAGAAAAGAAAAACAGAGCACAATAAAATGCTAAATCTCCAAGAGTGTCAAACTTTAGAATGGCATGATACTAGCATATAATTTTAGAGAAGCGGAAGTTGTACAAGTAAAATTAGCATTCCTTGCGGTGTTCCTTAGTATAAAGTTCTTGTGAGCTACTTGAATTTGTCATGTTTATTTGTCAATGAAGTGGAGATTGCAGGATGTCAAGTAGGTCAAATGTATGAGAAAATGAATTTTAAATAAACAACACAACTTTAAACATTAACCAGTAACATGCATGTTCAATTTACTAGTATCTCAAGTTTATAAGTACCAGACCCTTCAAGCTGTATTTTTAAAATCTTCACACAAAAGTAAGTTTGTTTTTTTTTTTTGGTGTTAAAAAATCAGATGCCTGTGGTTTAAGTGTTTAGATTCCTCTATACCTTAGGTGCAGTGACTGCAAATTAGAGTTCAAATTCCATGGTACTTTCATGCAGTTAAAGTGATTTACTGCTCTTTTAATAAAAATAAAAAGCACTAATTCATGATTATACTCATACTGTAAAATAATCAGTTGCTTTAAAATTAGAATTTTTGTTAAAGATATGTACTGTAATGCCTAAACGGTGATTCATATTTTACTTGCAGCAAAACCGGGTTGATGGATGGAAGAAGGCTGAGAAGTGGCAGAAAAACCAGATACAAACTTCATCGAGAACGTCTTCGTAAACCTACACTAGTCGACAGTTACTGTACGGATGATGAAAGCCGTCCAAGTTCACGTCGATACTCGCACACGACTTTCCCGTTATTTTCCAACCTCTCCGATGACGAGGTCATTCTATCGCACAGTAGCGGCACAGGAAGTGGGCTGAAGGTCTCCCATTCCACGCCGTCTTGTCTTTTGCTTCAAGCGGCTGCAGATCTAGAAGATACTAATCAGGAATATTTCCCCTTTGTGCACATGCCAATCGACTGCAAGCTGAAGATTTTGTCTTACTTGAGCTCCTTTGAAAAAGGGCAATGCATGAGGGTGTGTAAGAACTGGTACCAACTTCTGCAGACGCCGGGGTTGTGGTCGAATATCGTGATGTGGGATTTTCCGCTGACCTGCGTGCCGTCTGCCCGAGGTGGACTTCACAGTCCCAGCGACTGCTACAACTGTTACAAGAGGAGGGTCCACGGCTTCGCTGGCTTCCTCATGAAAATCCGACCTGTGATAAGAAGATTTGAATTTAAATTCGACATCGGTCAAGTGAAAGATGGATTTCTGGCCATGCTGAGGAATCTTATGTGTCACGTTTCGTTTCGAGAGGTTAAATACATGCTGTTCAACTGGAAGGATACACCAGCTAGACCATTCTGGCTGGAGGAATTTACGCAATGCGGTTGTAGAGAGGACGTTCTGTACTCCAACAGATGTAGAACACGGAAATACATTGCTCTCTTTGAAGAACTCGTCAAACATCTCGCAAAAATTGAAACGCTTATACTGCCATTTGACTGGTCTTGCATGAAAAACATTGAAAACGTCACAAAACTAAAAAGTTTGAAGACCCTAGTACTCGAGAAGAGCAGCGTGTTTCAATCGATCCAGCAATCCAGGTTAGATAAACTCTTGTCAGGACTTCCCGAGTTGCGACAGCTGATGTTGGAGATCTGGACTCCGAGTGGGGTCGGAATGATGAAGTATGATCTGAGTTCGGAGTCTCTGGAATTCCTCGACGTGTCACAGAGCCGAGGATTTTATCTGAGATCTCTCAACATGCCAAGGTTGAAACGGTTCCGTGTGGCGCGTCATCCGTGGAACGGTCCTCTGGTTTGTCCCACTCGACTGAACATGCCATGTCTGTACGACGTACTGAGACAGGGAACTCCAAATCTGTTGAAGCTGAATGAACACTATCTAGAAGAAGACTGGAAGGAGGTCTGCAACCCAAGACTGGAGGAGGTCTTTAAATCTGTTTGTTCCTGTCGCAGACACAAAACAGGGTGGATGATGTAAATGGTTGTGTTCTTAAGAATGTTTTGTTAGAGATTTTCCTGCCTTAGAGGTTGTTTACAGGATATTTTTGTGTCTATATTATTCTTTAGCATTTTACTGTATATGAAAAAAATGTGTGAATTAGATGTGAATTAGATTGTAAGTATTCGTATATCAACAAAGGATTAGGGACAGTAAGGGCCCTTTTTACCCCCAAATTTTGGGTGTCTGTAAGAATGCTGCAATAGTTCATAACCAAAAATCTGTGATCATCTTTGTTTCAAAGTGAGCATCAGCTATTTTTTTTTTCATAAGTACAAAAGCTATCACAATTTTAAGTTATGATTTTTAATTAACATGTTTAATGTCAAAAAAGGGGCCAAAAATGAGAGTTAAAAGTACCCTGTCCTTTCACATGCACTGATCTGAATAGTGGTGCAATATGCACATTTAATAAGTTTTTTTTTCAAGGGTGTCATATTTAAAATAATCACGAACATGAGATGTAATCATATTTCAACACATTCACTCATTTTATTTTTAATTCATTTTAATTTTGGTTACATATACACATGGCATATGAAATACTTAACTTCATTAATAACCAAAATTACAGAATTTTTTTTCAAAGTAAAAAAGTGCAATTCTTTTATTCAGGTAATGGTTATAGATGTACAGGGATGTTATGTAATGTTTGAATGTGTAAAATTGCAAAGTCAGGCGCACAAAATTTTAAAAAAGTTTTTGTGCTTATTTCAACAGAGGATGTTTTATACGTAATTGTTCAACAAAGAAACCTCTATGTCAGGACAGTTTTATTTTTCACCTGTCACAACATTACGCAATATGTCTAGAATAGATAAGCCATACACACTAAAACCCTTGTTCTTAGACCACACGGCACTGAATAAATACACCTTAGATTTTTAAAATGTGACAACTTACTATTATAACCTAAGATACTGAGCTCGAATAATTTTAAATTAAAATGGAAGTTTTTAACAGTAAATTTATTTGTTAGGTATAGACTGTTGAAAATGGCTTATTTTGTTAATTTTTTTATGTCAGTGATGTTTTGTTGATTTTGACTTTATTAGTGATATAAACTTGAGAAAGTTTTAGTTTGATTAAATTTCTTTGATGGTGAATCTTGTGTGCATGCATATGATTTACAACTCCATTAGAAATAATTATACTCTTAGGCATTCCTAAACACGTTACTTACTTGTAATACCTGTACAGTACCATATTTGTTGAAATATTAGGGTTTGTCCTCCTTAACCCCCCCCCCCCCCCTTTCCCTTCTTAATACAATGTATCACTTAAGAATTAGTCCCATGATTAGTACCAGAATTTTATTGGAGAAAAAAAAATGGATAATGAAAGTCATATTTACATTGAAATTATAGTGCTCATTTTACCCCAATATCTGATATGGTGCCTACAGTGTGCTTATTAAGGCAAATGCTTTTGTTATTACATCATGTAAGATAAAATTGGTGCAAGACAAAAAAATTATCTGATAGATTCATGATTTTATCTTTTATGTAATGTAAAGGCAGATTTGGGGAGTGTGAATATATATCCATTACAGTTTCATAATGTGCTTAAGAAAATATTGTTTATTTTAATGCAGTTGTAGTTGTTTTTTTTGTCAGTTCATCAACTGATCTCAAAAGAAAAATTCTATATTTTTCTGGCAATGTCTCATTCATTTTAACAAGATCAATCATATGATTTGTAAAAGAACGAAATAATCATGTTGAAAACCTTACGAAATAGCCCAGGAATTCATCAGATCATGATTTATATCCATTACGGTACTTCGTATGATTTGTTGTATAGGATCTTTCACTTGTTGATTTCTGTATCTGTAAATGTAGTTTATACAGTGAATCTGTTGAAGTTTTTTTCAGGTAAATGTTGTGGCCTTGGGGCTAACTGATTTTGCCATAGTGAGAGAAAGGAGATCCTATGAATCAAAAGTATATTTCTGTCTCAATACTTTTTCTAATGATTATATTGTTAATAAAATGTTTTTAAAAAACTTGATTACATGAGTTTTCTTCAGAGATCAACCACTGGTTTCACCATTCCTTGATGGTTTGGGCTGAAATAGCAGCCTGGGTAATGCAGTCGATAGAGCACCTGACAAGTGATGAAAAGGTCCCGGCTTCGATTCCAGGTCCACCCATTTTATACTTTCTTGTTAATATATATTTTGTGCTGTTGACCAACACTAGATTTGCAGGTTAGAGTCCTGCTAGGGGCTATAAATAAGAACTTGGATATTGGTCTGGGTAGCTCTGAGTCAGTAGAGCACCTGACAAGTGATTCAGGGGTCCCGGGTACGATTCCCAGTCCAGCCATATATTTTCTCTTGTCCTGTTACAATTCCATATGGCCTGACTGTGCACATTTTTTCACCCTTAAAGTGCAGTGAACACTTTAAACATATTTTATTGAATAATACAATAAGGATTGTGCAACAGGCAAGGCCTATATACACCCTCTCCTTAATGCAGTGAACACGTCTGGCATCAGAATGTTAACAAGTGGCAGCAGGTTGCTATTGTAACAGGAGAGGAGAAAACTGCAGTGGACCAGACCAGGATTCTAAACCCAGGCCCCCTGAATCTTCCTTCAGGTGCTCTACCAACTGAGCTATCCAGCCACCAGCAAACGAAACCGGCTGACCACCACATTTCTCCCTACTTATAGGTCTTTGGTCCCCCAAAGACCGCAACCAAGGTTCATCTCTGGCAGGCCTCTCACTTGTCAGTTCCAGGGCATAACACGGCACCATATGTAATAGGGGAGGAGAAAAATGCAGCGGACCAGACTAGGATTCAAACCACTGCCCCCAGAATCTCTGGTCAGGTGCCGACTGAGCTATCTGGCCAACGGCAAACAAACTCAGCTGACCGCCACTTTATAAAGGCATTATATACACTGTATAAGCAGATCGAATTTTTTGTGAGGATTCAATTTTGGCATTTTTAGCTAGGGTGTTGAAATCACTAGAATTAGATTAAAATTTTTGTGAGCAGACAGACTTACACAAAAAATAAAGTTCTCCCTAATAAAAAGTGATTTGCGGTAGCTCTATCTCCGTTCAGACCCTGATTTCTTCCACCTATTGTATTTGGTTCCCAAGTTTGACTTCTGAATGCTTCTCAGTAGAGGAGAAGATTTTCGAAGACATACAGTAAAACATGGTTATACCGAACACCCTTATAATGAATGGATGCTTAAGAATTTCATTCCATGTGACTTTTGTATTGTAAATTTGATGGATATGACGAATTACGCTTATAACAAAGCAAAATCATCCGTCTCTAGCACTTCGTTATAAACATGTTTTACTGTATTGTGTGTTTTTCATTATGACTAACTAAGCCCACCCAAAGTTATAGATCAACACAGTAATCAGAGTTAATTCAAAAGAACTTGATTTGAAGGTATCTTTCTGCTTGCAAAATTTCATTTATGCATATATTCATATTATAAAATATAATAAACAATTGCAAAAATTCATAAAAATACATATTCCAAAGAAATATATTGCATAAATAAGGTGTCTTGAAAAGTTGGTTATCTTCAGTATTTCGACAAAAGGTTGAGAATTGATCATGCAAAAAATTTTCCTGTTGGGAGTTCCAAGAACCAAGAAGATTTTATAAGATGTTGTAATTATTACTACATGACTTGGATTTTTTGTCTTTTATTAAAGCATTTCAATTTTTAAAACGCACTGTAACAATTTGAAAGTAGTCACCGACAAGAACTTTAAATAACAACAATCACTGATAACATTGGTTTACATACTGGTATTACATATCGTGTCTAAGGTAAAATGTTTCTGGCATTTTACTCCCACTAACACAGTGATACACTGAATGTTTTCAAGCAGTTTCAAAATTTCTCACAAGTAAACATGTACAATGAACAAACAAAGACTCAGGGTAGCTCACAAGGAACTATCATGTGAACACTTGAATAAATTAATTTAAAATACCCCAAAACTTCCAATTTCCAAGGGAAAAAATGCATTTTATCATATTTCATTCTTCGCTAGATGCTTTAGGTCACTGTTCATACATGTATACAGCATATGTTGTAAGAATATAATCCAAGCACCATAATCCTACTAGAAGTAGGTCATCACTATGGAAACTAGGTATCCATGACTACCTAGTAAATGCTGTCAGCTGTTGGACAATTTCTGGGTCGACCTGATTCATCAGAAGGTCAAACTTATCCCCTCGCTGTTCCTTACACAAATGTAGCTGAGACATGAGGAAATCCTTCAGGGGCACCGTGTGGACCGGGTCCTGTTTAGAAAGCTGAAAAGAAAAAAAAATATTGAGCTTAAAAAGTTGATTTGGAAAAAGCACTAGACTTATTCTGGTTATAGCACAATCTTAGCATGTTTTTTCACAGGCACTTGACGTTACATATTTTTCTTTTTTCTTTTTAAAAAAAATATACATGTAACATCAAGTGCTTGTGCACTTTATATACAGGTAATATTCTGCACTGTCTTGTGACTTGATGTTTACGTTAATGTTTACATGATGTTTACGTTTATGTTAACCTGGTGTTTATGTTCATGTTTACCTGATGTTTAGGTTTACCTGATATTTACGTTTGTGTTTATCTGATGTTTATGTTTATGTTTACCTGATATTTATGTTTATGTTTACCTGATGTTTATGTTTACCTGATGTTTACGTTTCTCATGTTTACTTGATGTTTACGTTTACCTGATGTTTATGTTTACCTGATGCTTATGTTTACCTGATGTTTACACTGCTCATGTTTACCTGATGTTTATGTTTACCTGATGTTAAGTTTCTCATGTTTACCTGATGTTTACGTTTCTCATGTTCTACTTCCTCCTCATCTGCATCTGTCCCCTGATCTGTATCACTGATCACCAGGGAACTACAAAATTATTTTTAAAAAAATTACAAGATAATTAACAATTCTACAAAATAATTCCCAAAACTACAACATAATTCACAGTATTGTCACAGTAACTAGAATTTGTTTAATTAACCATTTAGGTATTTATATTATCTCTTTTTCAAAATTGTGTATATCTTTTCCAGTTTTGAAATGTGCTTAATTTTTATTAGAAAGTTTTATTAACATATCATATAATAGCATTTACACTTCACACAATTTTTTCAGAATATAAAAATACATAACGAAAAACATACATTTATTCCTCTTTTATGGCAGATTTGATTTATAATTTGAAATGTCTCTCTTTTAAAAATATTATGAAAATTATGAAAAAGTATCATGAGAAGGGGAGCTTACTCTAGCTGTAAGAGAGGATCATCGTCCACTGGTATTCTAGTCACGTCATGTAACACACCCACACACAGAGTTACGATCCCCGCAAACTTCTCATCCACCAGGCTGTCAAGAACATAAAATCAATACCAAGGATTAATTTAATTATATTAGTGGTTTTAGATAATGTTTCTAATGAATTTTTGATCTAATATATAACAATTCCACAGAATTTTGAAATTCTATCATGCTTAAGTTATTCAACAGACCTCCTTCAGCTGGGTTTAATGAGTTTTCTAGTACTTGTCTAATACCATATAAGTAGAATTTTTAGCAAGGATTTAATTTTGGCATTATTAGCGAGGGTGCCAAGATCGCTAAAATTGAATATCGCTAAAAATTAATTGCGTATTATTTGTAATAGCTTCTTTAGTGTGCATTTACAAATCGCTAAATAACCTCTCACTAAAAATAAATTACCAGTTTTTAAGGACAAATTGCTAAATTTGCATCTCGCTAAAATTTCCACTTATACGGTACCATAAATCTGATTGTATATCTGGTGAAGTGATTCAACAGTCCCCTCAAGTTTGACATAAGTTTTAGTGGGTATAATGAAATAATTCTGATCAGGTACCTGGAGTTAACGGAGAGTAATGAAGCTAGAGCTAAAGCAGACAGCTTCCTCCTCTCTGGTTGTGTAATGTAATCCATGTTGTCAAACCAGATGTCCAGCAAAGCCCCAAATAAAGTGTTCACCTGGAGAAAAACACAAGCTTACTTGATTATTTGTGCCCATGACTGTCTACCCTTTGTAAAACACTGTACATGTACAAATGCATGTATACAAAGTACTGTAAATCACTTAATTTACGTGACACCTTATTTTCGTGAGAAAGACATTTACTCTTCATTAATGAGACAAAATTTTCACAAATTGTACATGTGGTTCTGCTCTATATATTCTTTAAGAATACAAATATGTTAAGCCAAAATGATATTTTCGCCTGCAGTCTGTCTCGCATAATTAAGCAAAAATGAAGTTCTCACGAACAAAAAAGAAATTTACAGTACATCTATATGCATGTACAATCAAATTTTCATATCTTGAACTAGATGGGGATGATAAATTAAAAATACATGTATTGAGATTAAAACACTGAGAAAACTTAGGGCTAGGTATTTCCGACACACTTCAACTTATCAATGGTATTCATATTATCAAAATATTGACGATTTTAAGATTTCAAAATAATAACATATTTTTCAACACCAAAACAAATTTGCTGTTAGATTTCCAATTCATCATTAAATAGATAAAAACATGTAATTTCCGTGCTCCACTCACTTCCTCTTGGTACTGTGGCGCCGTCTGTTGGAGAAGTTTCCACATAAACTCTTGATTCTGAAGGACAACTCTCCCAAACAGGGTCAAGTTCATGGAGACCAGCATAGACTGGTTCTACAAAGAGAAATGTCAATCTTACAATAATGCATACTCTTCATAGTCCTATCTCTGGGTATTCTCTGTGAATTATAGATGTATTGAAAGGTTTAATTAAATAAGTATATATATAAGTATAACTCTCGGTATTTTCTGTGAATTTAGGGTCAAACTTTGGAGGCAATCAACATTTTACTGATTTCTTGCAGCATCATTTTTTTTTATATAACTGTAAAGGTGTATGTTTTTTTAAAGGATAAAATTTTGCGATTTCCATGGAACAGAGAATTTGTGTGGGGATTATTTTTGTGGATTAGCATACATGTTCATGAGTACGCTCATACTGTAATATGTGTATATACATTTCATGTGGTTGCATTAAAAAGAATTCCAGTAAAGTATCACCTTGTCTTTCAGAATTGAATCCACTATTGAAACAAACATGTTCATGAATATATCTGGTCCTTCTTTTGGAAATAATTTTAATGCTACTTCTACTACCTAAAAATAAAATAAAGAGCATCAAATACACATATACATCATTGGTGATAAATAAAAATGTACTTTAAATGGCTTAAGTATTAACGACGTTGGATCCTGATATTTAAAGTCTTAAACTTTTTTTGCCAAGTACATGTATATTTTTAGTTTCTACATACATAGCGTAATTAAAATTCAAATCAAAAAATGGGGGTCAATATGCTTCTTTTGGCGCTACAGTTAATTGAGTACGACCATTTTGCACTGAAATTTGTGTCTTAATCAAAAATTACATCTTTGACGTTTTCCCTCCAATATTTTTTATCCAATTAAGGCAAGAAACAAAATGAACTCTAAGTCTATTTGAGAAAAGACACTTTAAAATTGTGTCTAAGAAAAAGTTTCAAATTGCCTCGCATAATCAATTATTTGACCTTTCTGCACTAATAAAATGTGGGGTTTTTTTTGGCATTGAAAATTTAATAAGCAAGAAAATTATTTTAAAGTCTTAAACTTTTTCTGACTAAGCAAATGGGTCAAAGTTATCTTAATTATTCAGAAAAGAACATCAAAAGTGGGGGTATATGATGTAAATTTTCAGATATCACTAAAAAAGTGTAAATTTTACGTTAAAATTGGCTCAACTTTTCCCCGGATTTTCAGAATATATGTCACACTTCGTTGAAAGAATTCATAAGAAATAATTTGATAGATATTTCAGAACCAGCATAAAACATTTTACTGCAAAAAAACAGCTTTGTGTGCAATCAGCATGGAAAAATAGGAATCTAAAGTTAACAGTACTGTTGTAGTTCGAAAGGGAAAAACTGATCATTTTCTTCTAAAAAAAAACTTCCGCCGCAAAATATAGTTTTGAATCTCCATTATTCTTTCTCTGATGCCACTGATCAAATTATAATTATTGTGTATTCCAAAGTTTAATTATATTACATTGTATTTTTATTCTGGGATTCAATAGGCATTCTGTCAGATGTACATACCCGTAATATCAATATCTGTCCATCTTCCCGAATGTCTTTCATTAAGCCATGTAGAGAGGATGCAAGACTATTACAAAAATGCTGGAGAAAAAATGGAAAAATATTAGTTTGTATATATTGTAATTACATGTACTAATAATGATCTATGCTAAGTATTGTTACCATACTTACATGCATGAATTGTTGAGGACACAGAAGAAGGTATGCTTCAATGATCTTTAAACATGTCCTTAGGTTCTCTGTTCCCATTTCTACAAATAATTATTGAAGCAATAAAAGTTCAAGTTTGTCTCATTTCAATTTCATTTCCTGAGTCAAATTTTTAGTTTGACATTTTACAATCTATTTCTATCATCTGTGTACATGTACTTTTGAGTATTTATTTTTTTGAAAGGAAAGTGCTGACTGAAAAAAAGCATAAAGGTGGTAAACTTTCATAAATGTTTGATCAAGTAAAAACTGATATCTAATGATTCTTTCCGAAACAAAAGCAGTCTCTGTAGAAATGACACCCCAAGGCAAAACCTCATAATACCTATATTTGAAAATTTTCACGAGATAGCACATCCATAAATGCACCAAATGAGCAGATCTTGTTAAAATAATGCTTATGATCAAGCTATCCCTGACATTACCCAGCAGTCCTGGCATGTTTCTGTACAGTTGTAGGAGGTGGTCGTTGGGAGCTGGAGAGTTTCTGACCGTCTCTAACCATAGGTCCAGTCCGTCCTCCGCAAGATAGACATGCTGGTCCTGCGTGACGTCCGTGCTGATCTGAATCACTGGCAGGAGGAACTCGTACATTGTCGTACAAGTAGACCCAAAGCCCTGAAAATGTAAACGTTGAATGATTCACTGACAAAACCAGGAATTGCTGATAAGACTGTAGCTCTACCAGTTTGTACTTTTCATAATGGAAGAGGCAAATTTCACCTGGACTGGTAAGATTTTGTTTAAGTTTTATTTTTACAGACATTTTGCATTTTTAAAGTATTTTTAAAACTTACTCCCAGTTTTTACAACAAAAAATTAACATTAACAAAATTAATTAAGGAAGGATATCATTTTAAAATAATTTTACAAATCAAAAAGAAGTGAAACCAGCCCCTGGAATCACTAATCAGGTGCTCTTAAAACGGGGCTTTTCATCCCAAAGTGATTGAACCTGTCTGACTGCCACATTTCTCTTTCCTTTCCAAGTCATTGCCTCTACAAACATAGACCAAGACTCTTCCCTAGCAGGTTCTTTAACCTATCAAATCCTGGTTTTGACTTCAAATGCAATGAGCCAAGGAGAAAAACTGTGACAGGCCAGAACAGGATTTGAACACGGGCCCTCTGAATCACAAGTCAAGAGCTCCATCAACTGAGATTTTACACATAGCTCTGGTATATTACCAGTACATGTACAGTTATATATACATAAAACAGAAGAAATGACTTTACAGACTCTTCAAAATAGAAAGAAACTGTCTGCTCTTGGTTATGCAGTAAATGAACAATTGACTGTTACACTTTTTCCTCACTAAAAACTTGACATTTTGCCTCTTTATGGTGAAAACCTACCTTTACTAGATGCACCAGTGTTGTCAGAATAGCACACTTCAGCATGTTATGCTCCTGAGCCTCCTGCCACAAAATCTGTAGATACTGGAGGAGGGAACTAGCATAGGGTTTGATCTGGCCACCAGTCCGCTCAATCAAGAAAGATATCACATGCAAAATCTGCATCTAAGGGAGAAGGTAGCAAAGTTTGTGAGCATGATATGAAAGATTAGAATGTTGTTTATATTTTAAGAACAATGTATGATAATTTTTATTTAGCACTTTTCTGATTTTTTTTCTGCGGTTATAGTACTAGGAGACAGATGAAGAATAACGTGTACATCTACTAAAACAGGTGTAAAATTATATCATATACTGTATACAGGGTAATTTTCATCCCTTATTTCCCCTTTTCTCCTAATTTCAAGTGGGAGAATTGGAAATAAAACAAATTGAAGAAAGATAGCGATAACTCTTTTAAAACAATTGTGTCTGGGCAAAGTTAAAAAAATTGAATTTTGGTGAAAGATAGCAAAAATAACCCTGTGGGCAGTATCTACCTTTGTATCACATTCCTGGACTTCCTTTAGGAGATCAAACAACAGAGAAAACATGGAATCCAAATACTGAAACAAAAAGAGGAATTCATCAGCACATTCTCAGTCAAAATATCCTTAAATCTTTTGTTCGTGTTTTTTATTCGATTACTGTAAATGTATTACATTTGGCTGTGTATTCTTTTTAGCTCTTTTGGCGGAAAGGAACTTCCGCTAATTCAAGTACAACGCTAAATGTTTTGCAAATAAACACATAAATAAGAACATTAAGATATCCGCTAAATCAAATCTATGCTAACTTGTTTAAAAACCAATTTCCACCAAATATCGTACACGCTAAATACAGTAAAACAGTTATAGCGAAGTCCTGGGGACCGGTGAATTTAATTCGCTATATCCGAAATTCGTTATATCCATATAACGAATTCGTATAACTATATATAGCGAATTCGAAATTTGCATGTTTTCCTTCAAGTGTTTCTACCAAATATGTTAGGGAAGCAAATTTTACAAAATATACCTTCGATAACTAAGGTTTATTTTTAATTATTATGAATTGAATTTTTATATTCAAATGCTAAAAGAATATAAAGTCAGTTCAATTTATCAAACTTTGAGATCTTTGAAAGTTTGTTATAAAAGATGTAAATTTCATTATATCTAACCTCAACGGGACTCAAAATCAGTTCGCTATATCCGTAAATTCGTTATATCAGAGTTCGTTATAACCGTAAAATTTTACAAAGATTTGTTAAAAATTTTGCCGGGGATCCAGAAAGACTTCGCTGTATCCGTGAATTCGCTATATTTGTTGTTCGTACTAAACGAGTTTTACTGTATAATACATTATTAAATTTTATAGTAATTTTCACAATTTTAAAATTTCTAACTTACTGGTAAGAACTGCTCAACACTGAATTCAAAATCATCTACAGGTAAATGAAGTTAAGAAAAGTAATGATTTACGTGTGCATGTTTTCCTTTCTTAAAGACATGTTTAAACTAATATTTTTTTATTATGGAAGTAAAGAGAAAAAAAAAGAATCTTTTATTGTGGGTTATGAGGTGATATCCAATGTCTTTTATATTCATAACACTTTTTGACATTGGTATAGAGTATAGCACTGGAATATTATTGATCAACATTGACAAATTTAAATATTCAAATTAATTTTAATTTTAATATGTAAAGGATATCAGTTTTGAGAGTCATGGCTGATTCTATTCTGACTACTAAGTCTTCTGATTGGTTGAGGAGAGAAATGATGGCCTGGTACAAAGTCGGGCGCAGAGAGAAGGACATCTTGACCCCAACCCAATGGGCACACAGCCAGATAATCCTCCGATGGATGATGCGGTAACTGAAAAGTAGATATTGCAATAAAATACTATAGATTCCTACAGCGATAAATTTATTATTGGGTAATTTGACTAATTTCACAAGAGGAAACACTTGCAAAATAAAATTACTCCCATTTTCTTCTTACATTGCAAAACTACAAGTCCATTGATGGTGGTAATCATAAGAGCATTACCAAATTTTTTTTCTTCTGATTTGATGTGTCTGAAGACATTTCTCAATAATTAATAGTCGCATAAAATAAGGAATATATAGCTATAATTCATAAAGGTATTGAGAGTGAAAACATTTTGATTTTTAAAATGTTAAGAATTTACCAGTGAAAGGTTTTATTTTATTTTCAAACAATCAATAACAGAATAAGTAAATTAGCCTCTTACTTTTGGTGCTTTATATTAAGTTCCTGAAGTAGTTCGGAGGAGAACCATTTGTCGAAATCCACATCATCAAACAGATCAAAAGCTGAGAGACCAACTGCATTGTACACTGAAATCATCAAACAAATCATCATCATTGTCATTACATGTATCAACATCATTAAATGAGAATCATTAAAAATAAAATCCCATAACTCTGATTATACCTGCATCTTTACTGAGAATCCCAATCATGTCCTCTGGATCACAAGGTGCCTGTATGGCCTGGACAAGTTCAAGGACAACTGGGACCAAGGAGGTCCGGAATTCCTTAAACAGTGTAAGATACAGCACTTCTGAGCTGGGCTGCAACATAAATGTAATCGTATAATGTCCTGCTTTTGCACGAAATATGATAAAAAAAATCAAATTATAATAAATACAACAGTGCTGTTCAAAGAATTATCAGGAGGAATGGTAGGCATTAGAGTGGCAGGATGTGTCATGGCCATTTTATATACTTTTTCTACCTCCTGACAAAGAAGGTGAGTAGTTAGTTCGAAGACGATGTTTGGCACAAATTGTTTACCACCCTGCCCCCTTAGTCTAAATGAGGAATATGTACCTAATAATGTAAAATGTACCTACTCTAAGTGAATACTTGTAGGAATCTCCACCTTCTTCTAAACCTGCAAACAATCAAAAGATCATTCACCCTTATCAAAAATAAAAATAAGTAACACATTTATACACATGTAGATGTAATATATTCTGGCAGTGACAATTAGCTGTACTCACAGAAGCCCTCGGGATCAGCGTCCCAGTGACTGAGATCCTCTGACGTTAACAGGAAGTACTGCGAGATCAGACGACGACAAATCTCATGTAGCGTACCGTAATGAAAAAAATCCATCTTAATTTTATACGCTGCCATCTTGACGGCATCAGTTTGCTCTGGAAATACAGGAAAGTTTATTGCAATACTATAAATTAGCAAATCTTAGTACAAAACATTTTACAGATATCGTTTCAATTTTATCTAAAAGTACCTGGAGACTTCATAGGTCTGTACACGTCACTGGATAGAATTCCCTTCATCAAATTAAAACAGTTTACGGTGAATCTCTCAAACAGCAAACCTGGAGTAAAAATAAAGCAGTGAGATTATGAAGAATTGAAAACCTATACACGTAGGTGTTCATGACAGCATTTGCTAGTTATACATTGTGTTCCTAACTGAAAAATGAATGGATTTTTTTAAAATTCAGGGCTTAAAACATTGATCAAAGAATATTTTTAAGAGCTTTCTTGAACCTTAGTTTTTCCCGTACTTTTCATTTACCTTTTTCTGACATAGAGAAATTATACGTGACCACAAATTCAAGGGTAGGTCTGATCAGCTGTATAAAGGAGATAGGATGGTTGTCCAGTAAATCTAACAACTGAAAAAGAAAAACATTTCATTCCAACAAGATTAGGGTGAAAGACAATAAATTTCACACTGACATGTTTTTAGGCACCTTCCTAGATATCATTTGCCATTTTCCCTGCAGTATGGGAAAATCTTTCCCAAAACTATATAGACATGCTAAATATTTTTATTTGTGTACTATGTATTTCAATTACCGTAAAATCCCGTGTATAGAGCGCAATGTTGTAAAAGACGCACCCCCAACTTTAGGGGTAAAAATCCTGAAAAAAAACGCTGGTCCTATGTAAAAAGCGCATCCCAAAAATGCAGAATTTGGATGTGACATTACTTTTTCTAGTACAGTAACTTAAAATAAAATAATGAAAAATTTACGAATCTCAAACGAATGTAGAACGTCAGTTTTTTCACTTTACATATTCAAGTGTGCATGTGTGAACATTTTAATTTAATCTTTGTAATAGTTATCTAACAAGAGGAAATAATACTTGATTATTTTCTTTTTAATTAATTCCAAGCCAAGCGTGTTATCAATTTATGCTTACCAGTAGAATGCATATATACCAAGCGCGTGTCAGTATGTACGTAAACTGGGTCATACCCAAGCGATATTAATGTAAAAAATTTGGCTTTTAGTAATTAAACAGTTCTTGGTATCCATTGATAATTTTCTTGAATGTAATTGACTGTTTTTACAAATACGTTTATATGTGCTTACACTGGCTAGTGTTTTAATAACGCAGGTGTTGAAGTGATAATTGTTATATAAATAATGGTCATGGCCTACGTGACAACATAGACTGAAGTTTAATATAGCAATGACACGGCAATAGAATCCTTAACGATTTGGAACTGGAATTACATATCTAAAATTTAAAAGAATAAAAATAAGTTATAGAATTGAGAATAATTCAGAAAACATCAAAAAGATTATAGCTGGTGATGATATAAGCGACGGTAGTTCAAAATGGCGGAATATGCAATGGAAATAAAATATAAACAAAGATCGTTTTTCATTAGAATTTTATTTTTGAAAAGGTTTTCTTTCTTTCAACACTAAGGGTATATGTTTATTTCTACAACAGGTAGGGCTTACGTATATAACTCTGAAATTAGATTAACTTTGACGTACCGTATATACTCGCCTATAAGTCGATATTTTGGGAGTTAGATATTTGTCTAAAACTCTATGTCCGACTTATAGGCGAGTCATAAAGAGATATTTTTCTGGAAGCAAAAACTTAGTATTTTATTTGCATTTCCGACGATTATCGAAGAAAATGTCTGGATATAATATATGAAAATTTATGTATTGTTTTATTATATACCTAATGTGTATCACCCAATTTTACTGTAGATTTAACGCAATCACGTGACGTCGTGATCCGATTTTCCGGATCACCAACATGTTGTTTTCTGAATCCATATCACCACTCTCTGAAACTGATGACGTAGTACGCAGAAACTTGACGTTATTTTTCTTGCACGTTAAAAAGTCCCTTGTAATTATGTGTTGTTTTATGGATAAATGTTATGCAATTGATCTACAAAGTTTTCTTTTGCTATATTTTGCTAGTTATGAGGGGGTATATAATAAATTTATCATTATAACAGTAACTTGATCCGAAGAGCCGTATCACGTCTCGTTGACAGGCGCGGATCATCAGATCAAACTCGACGCTTCGCTTCTCGTTTGATCTGATGATCCGCGCCACAACTCGACGTGATACGACCCTTCGGATCAAGTTACTGTTATAATAATATATATTTATTATACATATAAAGTACATGATTTTACATATTTTAAACATTTTATTTGTATTTTTAGTGAGCATTGCCTTTTAAAAATAATTTAAGTTAAATATTAGTGTCATATCGAAAAATATTGATTGAAACCAGGTTAAAACATCAATTGATTTACTTGAAATTGGCATTCGATTTTGGCAAAAAATGTACCGACTTATAAGCGGGTCAATAGCAAATCCCACCAAAATAACGTCAAAAAATACACCCGACTTATATGCGGACCGACTTATAGGCGAGTATATACGGTAATTGGTTACAAAGGATAATCAATTCAAATGGATCAGGAAAATGGTCCTCGGCACTGAGAATGTGACCTGAAAAAAAGGGGTTGAATTTTCTTCCTATGTATTGAGCGCATCCCTACTTTTGAACAATTTTCTGACGAAAAAAAGTGCGTCCAATACAAGGGATTTAACGGTAAGGCTCACAATCCCCCAATTCATTCATATAAAATGTAGTTTAATGCTTACAATACAAGTATTCTAAAATAAATTCAAATTTATAAAAGGTAAAATGTAAATACATTTAGCATATCTTGTGGGGCAAAAGTGAACAACAGTATTTTGACTTGACAGATTTATAAAGAAATAAATGAAAGTAATCTCATGAAAAGTTATCTCCCTTTTCAAAGCATCAATGTACCTAAATACCCATACTTACAATTTTAGTAATCATAAGAATCATTTTCTGACATTTCTCAAGAACTTGGTGATTCCCCCACATACTCTGTCCTAAAAATAGATTTTAACAACATGTAAATTAAGAGAAAATAATTGAGTAAGAGAGATAATGCTCCAACAAACTCTGGGTCAAGTAAGAAATCAAAGAAGAAAAATGTTGTTTACAAACTGAATAAGCTATTTTGTTGCATTTGATCAGTATATTTCAATTTACTACTTACTAAAGCCCAGGACCTGCTTCATTCTGACAAATATCTGGTTTAAAAAGCTTGACATGTCCTGGTTAGTTGAGGGATCTTTGGTGCCGTAAACAATCTGTTTCCTGATAACTGATAAAACACACACATTACAACAAGAATCATTTCAAATAAAGACAGTTATCATTACTCTAATACTCTGGTCTGAATTTTCATACATTACAATGTTCAATAATTTAGACAAAGAACATGTAATATTGAGAACTACTGCAAAAGCAAACTACCTTTTTTTTTAAAGAAGTAAGTGATGTGGTTTCAGTAATTTTAAAGGGGTTAAATTTAGTAGTCTAAGCAAAAAAAAAATTGTGGACAATTTTTGTAGACAGCCAATCCCTTTGTTTGTCAAATGTTTACCTCAACAGAGAAAACAACAAAAATTGCTGTTCAATGAAGAATTATGAAACCACATTACATACATGTACCTGTAAATAATTATAAGTATTCAAACGTAAAACATATACATGTACATTTACTCTGAGAGACCAGGATTTTTCAGGATCTTACTTTTACAAGACAGGTTTGCCCTATCCATTGCTGGTCCCATTTCATCACTATGGACTTGTGAGAGTTCAGCAAATAGGTCAAGATCTCTGATCCAAAGTCCATAAACAAACCCAAATATCTCCCCAGTCAACTGAAACCATCAAAGAAAAAATGACAGTGTCCACCAAAATGTACATGTGTGTATATGATCCTCCAGAAAATCAAAATCATAAAAAGAGAAAAATATCTTTCAAGCTAAAAAAATATAGAAAAAATACAGTAAAAGTAGAATATTTAGCAAGGATTTAATTTTGGCATTACTAGCGAGGATGCTGACATCGCTAAAATTGAATATCCCTAAAAATTGATTGCGTATTATTTGTAATAGCTTCTTAAGTTAGCATTTCAAAATCGCTAAAATTACTTCTCGCTAAAAATAAAATACCAGATTTCAGGTAGAAATCGCTAAATTTGGGTCTCGCTAAAATTTCCACTTATACGGTATACATGTACAAAAATATTATACCAAACTTATAAAGATATTAATATCATATTTTACTTTTTGTCTCTTGTGTTGCTATAAATGAAATATAATATTAAACTTGCTTCTTCAAACAGCTTTCTATCAGGAGGAAGTCTTTTTGAGGCCAGAGTTTTTGTCACATGATGAAGAATGAGGAGTGCTCTCTCTTGGATAAGTAAGTCTTCACAGCGAACAGCTTGGAAAAGAGCAGGAAGAAGGGAATTCCAGTTACGAGGACAGTCCAATCGGGCTATCTTAGAAATCAACACTGCCAGCTGAGTAGCGATCTGAAAAATTCATAAACAAATCTTTATTAATATCAGAAGATATTGCCCATCACAAATGAAAATGTTATGTTTTTCTTCTAAAGCTTAAAACTTGGTGGATGCTTAGTCAAAAGACTATTACTGTTAGACTTCTCTTGAACCTTGCTTTCAAACACCACCAAAAAAAGATCCAGTTTTATTGATCAAATTCAAAATGAGAGGGTGAATACAAATTTTGATAACTCATTTTTAGGAAAAAACATAAGCACTTAAATGAAATATCCCTTACAATCTGATCATTTCCTTATAAAGGATTCTCTTAATTGTATCTCTTTTACGATAAATTATTTGTGTGGCATTTAAGAGGCATACCTGTGGAACTGGCTCAGAAAAATTGGAAATTAGCTTGGACTTCAGTCTCTCCTTTTCATCTTCAGACATGGCACTGTAAATGAAATTTACTGAATTTAACTGTTACATCATATTGAAGGATGATACTGATTTGTACTATAAATAACTGTGTATCAGCTTTTGATACAGCTGTTGCAATGTAAACATTAAATATTAGTACTAAGCTAACTGATAGAATGAAATGATTATGATTGTTTTCTTACTTTGGGGCTGTTTTCCTCCAATAACGCTCCACTCCATTCTTACAATACAACACTGCTAACCATCTCACATTTGTGCCGATATTATGATTGGAAAATATTTCCTAAGAAAAAAAAAACAGATCTTGTACAATTAAAGAAGCCTTAACCTGAAACTGTAGCATTAAGTGTACATCATAACATGCTAACGATGATTTAATTTTTTTTGGCAAACAGATTATTTTAATCAGATTGCCTTTTCTTGGCACAAAGAATTAGAAAAGCCCAGTCACTTAAATGTTAGAACATATACTTTTAAAATATAATTGTGCCAGATAATATGATTTTGTTCTTTTTTTATAAAGGTTCAAGAGGGCTTTAATCAAAAAATAAAAATTATGATTATAATTAAGCGGACTATAAAGGTGGTACACCAGGCGCGTAGCTGCCTATACGCAAGTACGCAAGTGCGTACACATCATTTTCAAAATAAAAAAAAAAGAAAAGTTTAGCTGCAGAAAGAAAAAAAAAAAAAAAAGAAAGAGAGAGATTTATGCCATTGAAAAAAAGGTATTATCTTTCTTGCAACATTAAAAGAGTCTTACTGTTTCTATTCAAATTTTGTCCATTTTATCGTTAAAATCCAGTCTTTTATAAAATATAATTCCTAAATGTGTGTTCCTAAGAAAATATTGTTGAACCAAAATTTTCAACTGGTTAATAGCCCCCTTGGCCCAGAAATTGAGGCAATCAAAAATTTGATGAAGGAAAGCTTTTTCTAAGTGACATTGATCTAAAGAAAAAGTTACAAGGGTCTTGGACGAGTATTGAATTTCCGTTGAAAAAGAATAAATATCGATAAACAAAAAAAGAAAAAAAGAAAAAGTAAACTTCAAATTACTGAACAAAGTAAATAAGAATATAGATCATTTATGAATATCTTCTTTTACTGATGTTACCGATTTATAGAATATAAGTACTCTCACATTGTTTAAGCTATCAGAATATAAAGGTTATCAAAAGACCCACACCCCCGTTTATATTTTGAAATAAACTCCAATGATAACTTATTAAATTACTTCTCTCAATTTTACATTTCACACTTGTAAAATTTCCAGTACCAATATATTCGTAAATTAATTTGATCAAATTATCCTTCTCTTCCTGAAGTATCCATGGAAGTGTAACTTTTCTTGAGAAAAGAGGTAATACCATGTTGATTTTTTTAAAGGAAAATGACTGAAAAATAAAGTAGGTAAAAATAGCTACTTTGGGTGGGCTTTGCCCCCTGGCCCCCCACAAGGGCTTCGACCCACTGGGGGCCTCAGGGCGGCCCCCAGACCCCCGACCATTTTCTGCGTACACTTCATTTCAATGCTGGCTACACGCCTGTACACTATGATTTTGATCAAAACTGAATATGACAGAGTAGGAGCTTTGAATTTAATCTCAAATTCTTCTACTGATGATCAAGTTAAACCTTAAAAAGTTCAATGCTTACACTTAGAATAGTATAGAATCCTGGTTGTGTTTCCCATTGCTGAAGTTGGCGTTCGGCTGGTTTTAAAACATCGGCATTCTGGCAACAAGCATTAGTCAAGGTCTCTAAAACCAGAGGACCAGAGCTCGAAAGATCCATTTTCAATCAGATTGATTTCTCCATACTAAAATAACACGCACATGCTTACTTATGGGGACTTCCCAGTTCTAACGCTTTATGAGTTTGCATGACATCAGTATCAAAATGAACGACTTACGCTAGTCTTACTAAAAAAAAAATGCAATTAAACGTAAAACTAATTGACTGAGTAACTTGAAAATCAAATGAATATTGAAATGTTGACTATCCCATGGGGGCTGCCATTTTTCATTGTAAAAATATTCGAATTGGTAACGTAATCATGTTCCGGGAAATGTTATTGATTTCATTTAAATTTTATGTTAACTTATTATTGGTCAATGTAAGATAAAATAATTTCACTTCAAATTTTCTTATTAGCTAAGGTAAAGTTAAACTACTAACTGAATTCAGAGAGAAACTAGATCTACAAACATTTTCTTGTACGAGTTATCTATTTTTTGTTTTACGAAACTAATTTGAAAGCCCGCTCTGCATGCATGAGATACACTTCCGGAAATCTAAAGCAATGCATTTTCCAACTTGACAAAAATATTTTTTTAGAAATGCATTTATCCTAATTAGTTTTGCCAAAGTACCATGTCTGAAACCAATTATCATGGTGGGTTACTACCGAAACACGCAATTTACCATTCTTCAGGGTAGGTTAATCAAAGCATGGATTGTTTTTTTTTTTGTGTTTATCATTTTAGACACGTTGTCAATATTGTAAATACCCAAATAGTAAATAGTGTTATATACAAGTAAATGATATATATTTTGACGTAGAAATGCACTTGACCCAAGAATACATAATCAAAGAGTGTTGTAGTGTAACCTTAAGGTTAGCTGGTACCTCTAGAGCAAGTTTCTTTTCATACAAATTTGGGTGAATAATTAGCCCACAGGTACTTCATTCTTACTAAGATTCGTCAAGATAAAAAAAATTAAGGACTTATTTCTCTTTCGAATTTCAGACCAGTGCTAGTCTACACAAAGTGATTTAGGAAATCTTACTCCAAACTTCAACTTTTTGTTACTAGGGATGTGCAATTTTATCGGTATACCGGTATATCGTGATTTTTCGTTGCGTGATACGTATCGTGATACGGAGACCTAAATACTGGTATTTAGGTACATATTATAAAGTCCAGAAATTATTCATTTATTTGTTCAATCTTTTAAATTACAATTATAGAAAGTCTAAAAAATGTTATAAAAGGTTAAAAGAACGGCATCTTACTATCCAAACATGATTAATTTTATGTACATAAAAATTTCAAAAACATGAAATTTTGTTTTTCTAGCATATTTTTAAGAAAAATAATGACAATTCATTAAAATCCTTGTTAAAATTACTTGAAAAAGTATCATGATATTATCGTGATATTTCGGGAAAAAATCGTGATATATCGCCATACGAAATTTTTGGCAATACCCATCCCTATTTGTTACAATCAAAATAGGTTGTCGAATGAAAGCCCAGCCTGCTTCAAGTTTTCACTTTGGACATCCTTTTTACTCTGTATCATTATCATTATGAAACTTTCGTTTCTTTCCTTTAAGAGATATAAATCTAACCAAAATGTTAGTTTAAAAAATGATTACATTATACACATTCAAAATATTATATTGACTTTGTACTATGGATTCTTTTCTATATGAAATTATAGTTTAAATACACATCCAAAATATTAAATTGATTCACATGTCTAAACAGAATAAATCAAATGCATTCTTTCTCGGCTTTAAAATACTTTTTTCCCCTCCATATTTATCTTTTGCAATTTATGTTATTCAGTATTTTAAAAATTATCAGAGTGACTTCATAAAATGACTTTAATAAATATTTAGTTGTAAATTTCAGAGATAATTATTTTCATATCAGACATGAAACCGAATTTCATTAAATTTATGTTTTATATGTATTAAATAAATGTCTTAAGAGCAGGTTTTGGCATATTATATTACATGAAAGTAAAATAATTTGACACTTGCTTTTGAAATAAACAAATTTCTATTGTTATTCATATGCATATCAGTTTTCAACGACATTGTTTATATCGAGCTGCAATTTTTTTCTCATTTGCACAGAATGTGTATTTTAATTTTTATACATATCCAAAGGACAATGTTAACTTATAATTTTTTGAAAAACACTACTCAAGTTTGCCTGTTAAATCAACAGGAACCTGAGTGTCATCGATTGATATTATAATCACTTTACTCACGTAACATTCCACGTTTCGATACGCCAACGCTTTCATTGAACACTTCATTGTGTGTTTTTGTCATTTGAAGTTTCTATTCGGACAGTATCTATTGTACTTCCGACTTCAAACTATGGTGAATTTTTGCGCAAATTTTAATAGAGTTTGAAAGATTATATGTCTCTTATTGTACTGTGTATTTTTCGTTAGTAGTGTTTTGAAAGAATTCTTGTATTGGTAGTGAGATTAATAAATATATATATATGTTGCCTCTGTATTATGGTCTGCAGGGCGATACATCTACCCCATCCCTAAACACTAAAATCAATTATTATTTGTGCACCATGAAACTACACAATCTCTCTCTTCACCATTTACATTCGTAGTTTAGAATCTGATTGCGAAAAAGCATGTGTGCTTATGTTTACATTCCAAATCCATGCGATTTAAATGTCTCCACTCATTTGCAGATAATTCATTCGAAAGTGGTCCTCTTCACATGTTCTTTTCAATGACATTGTCTTTGATGATAGAAATATGTATGACAAAAATTTCAAGGCATAAATATCAAAAGCATATGCTTGCACAATATCCATAGATTAATTTAGTGATATATATTGTAATGTAAAGATTAAAACAGGTAGCCGAAAAGGTTCCAAATGACATACTTAAGTGCACTCATTCTTTCAGAGATAATTATTTTCATATCAAACATGAAACCGGTTCACTGTTGTGATTACATGTTAAGTATATGTTTAAAAATCTTTTTGGGCTGATTTGTGAACATTGAAAATTTTGTCAGTTAAATTGAAATAAACAAATTATGCTAATTTTCTATCAATGGTATCAAACTATTCTCATTATTTTTTCTCTTATAGTCTTTCATTTTATTTATTGTGACTTATAAATGTTTTACAGACTGTTTCCTGTTAAATCAAAAGAACCGTTTAATAGATGGTAAAGCACCCGCTATTTCCCCTGTACATGTCAGAGTGTTTTTTGCTGTTTATGCCTGGCTTAGAGTTATGGCAATTAATTCAATAATTGATTAACAAGAAAAAAAAAGTATGTGTTTTAAAAATATATATATATTCATGCTAAATAAATAAGAAGAAAACACTAAATATCAAGTTAAATATGCTGAAAGATTGAAAATTGTAGAAACAATAGCAATACATAGTTTCTCACTTGGGGCTGATTTGTAAACATTGTGTTGTTGATATTTTGGTAACATATGCTTATATAATATTGAATTTCTACACTAGAGTTTTTCTTTTTTATGCTTAACGAATCTCAAACATTACTCAGTACACTTAAAATTATTGTAACTTTAAATTCTTTTCATAAAAGAATTCATAGTGTTCAATCAGTGCTGGACACAAGAATTATTATGCTTTGTTACAAAATGTGTTAATTATATAGAATTCACATGGCTGTGTTTTCCTTCCATCACACTCGGAAACCTTTTGCTTCTGATTCATGTTTTATCATGCAGTACAGTTATCAAGAGTCACAAAAATATTTTTACATAAACAATTTTTTTAATCAATTTTCCCTCTTTCATCAATATGATACAATTGTTTAAGCTGCATGAAAATAATTACCGGTATAAACTGTTCGGTGATGTTTATATTTGATAGTCTATGCAATTTGTGAGTTATTTTACATTCTGTTGTCACTGAAAATCATGGCATTGACATAAATGAGTCCTATTTCAGTTTGTCAGTGTACCTTCTGCTGTTGGTAGCGGCCAAGTTCCTGCGAGCGGTCGGTCTATTTATCTCGTATGACTTATTGAAGCTCATCCCTGTGGTACAATTCCTATTTCTCATCAAGTTCTGGTAGGTGCAATGATTTAAAACTATGCTTCAAAACAAGCATATATATTAAAATGTTGATGTGGTATTATTTTTTGATTTGAAATATTGCAGGAGTTCCCTCCCCCTTCTTGTGCTCCAGAAACCATTTTCTTCAGGCAAAAGATTGAGTAATCACCAGGTACTGACATTTTAAAATTTAGTGTTTGATTCATATTCAAGTATTGATAGGTGCAGTACTTCCACATTTATTATTTTTTAAGGTGAATTGCTACATGTTCTACAATTCCCAAGCATTTCCCTGTAATAATAAACATTTATCCCAACTGTATAACTAAAGGATTCCATAGGATCTATTATTATTATGTAGATGTATTTTTTTTAAAAAGAGAAAATGCTATATTTATCATATTTGTATTTTATATTATATTGTTTTCTTATTTGTAGAGTTTGCTATATTTCTTAATTCTCAACATTTTTTGAAAGAAGTAAAAATGTTATTTTATTTTGAATGCAATAATTTTAAATTTTATTATTATTGTTTATGTTTTATGTTTGCAGCTATTCCGTGTATTCCGTCATGCTGTCATAGGTGCATTCATAAGTCTACTATGGCTCTTTGGCCTTACACTCTGTGGCCCTTTAAGGTAAAAGATTGTTATATTAATTAAATAAGTTTATTAGATTTAATAGATTCATACACAAAGTTATGCCCATACACAAGAGTCTTTTTCTTTTGTTTTTGAAATGCTTCTTTTAGAAATTGAATTTATGCTGTACTTTAAATTGAACATAACAAATTTTGAAAATGAAATACATGTAGTTTAAGGTCAGAGGAGACATTCCTCAAAATAAGTTTTTTACCGGGTATATCTTCGTAATGTATGAAAAATATTTAAAATTTTAATAACATTCTGATTTCTAAACCAGTCTCTAAACGTTTTTAAAAAATCCAAACACTTTAACATTTGAAATTGGAAAAATGTTTTTCTTCCCCAAAGGACTATATAAGAAAAACTACCCCTGGTATCTTACAGAAATGCCTGGTAAGATACCTCATTTTTTTGTGAGTAAACATGTTTAAGTAACAATACTTCAATGACAAACTCCTAGAAAAATTTATCTATTATTAAGGAACATCTCGTCTGTCCTTAAATGTAAAAGATGAAGATAACGAACAGTAATTAAACAGACAAATGGTATTTAA